GTCAGTTTTTACTACCCTCATCAGTGACAGTACACGTAGGTATAAAATTTCACCCCTCCATTTATTCTTATACCTTTGTGTATCCTAAATTATTAAGGGTGGCTACGACATCAACATGTACTGGGTGTTCATAAATGTTTGTCCATCAAGTTAACCATGACACAAGTGTCAAAGAGATTTTCAGCAAATTTTGCCGCTTCTAAAAAATTGTTGCAAAATTTAGAAATAACATAAATAATGTATTACTGGGTGCTCAACAGGCGTCTAATTTTAAAATTGTTTCGAAAGCAACTTTTATAATAATAATAATAATAACAATCAGTGACAGAAATTTTGATGAAAAAACACTTTCCTTACATTTTACGTGTTACAACTGTGTTTGTAGGTACTCTTTCATTACATCTCTCACATTTTCCACAACCTCATTAGATACAGTAAGTTGTCCAGATAACTTGAACAATGAAAAACTGCTAAAGAACCAAAACAAACCAAAACGGAATTAAAAACGGCAATGTGACAGTTGACAATGACAGTGACAAACAAGAATACAACCACTATCGCAACAAGGTGGCAAAATTTATTGTTTTTCAGAGGCGATTTGATAGACAAACATTTATAAACACTTTGTATAAAGAAAAAAAGGTAGTTTGTGAGCGGACATCCCACATTTAAATGATTCTTCCCAAGTTTTATGAGGGCCCACAAAGAGTAGACTAAAGTGAAGTCGGATAATAAAACGATCATGTCACGAGCAATTGAATAGTAATATCGAGGCGCAATATCGTTTCTTCATTACATAATCCTCATTCCTTGCAGAATTAAAAGTTGGAATGGAACAAGTTTGGATTGCATTTCTAATTAAAGGGATTGGACGGAATATGAGTTGGTGGTTATTAAATTACTCAAGAAGTAGGCGAACTCATTAGTGGGTCATTTCGGCCGTGATATTACCGGACGCGTACACTACTTACGTACGAGCGAAATAAATACACAATTTTAATTAGATTAAAGGCGACAAAAAAATTTTCCCGAGTGATTATTTTTCGCCGTCATTAATCACAAATGACACCTGAATTATAAATATTTACGCTAAAACAGAAACTCCTGAATAATGTATTGAATGAGCATATTTTTGAACACAAACAGTGCATTCGGTTATGATATAAACAGGGGCGATACTCCATCTCTAATTTTATCGATCGTATTTCTAAATTTAACTGGAGTCAACAGCTTCTCTACAAAATTCAAGATCAGATCATGTGTCCACTGAAGAATATACCAACAGTATTTTGCAAGGGTTTTATAAACACTTGGAGCATGAATATTTTAAAAACAGAGTCACAGACAAACTCGTCAAAGTCCAGCTACAAAGGAATGTAGGTGCAACCGATGCGATAAGAATGCATAAGTATCACATGAAACTTTAACAACCACTTATTTATTAACAACGAATATAGACAAGAACACTAACGATCGCCAAATTTCGTAAGGCAGTTTTTTAAAACGCCATACAATCCAAATCTGTTACCAAAATTACCAAATTTTGTAACGGAACATGGCAACAACCATCACTGTCTTTAATTTAACGGAACCACATGTGAAGAGAAGTCTACATGCCTGTTTTGTTTTTGGGTTGAAACGTACCACTTTTTTTTCAACTTCGCATAATCTCAAAGGCGTCGAAAATTCTATCCAACAAATCATGGAAATGCCTCTTTCTTCCGCGAATTATTGAATCTCAGCCACCTTCTACATCAACTCAAGTCGAAACTCATAACGCATTCGAACTTCGCAGTCAAATAGTTCCAGAGTTATCCAATAAAAAGTTTGAAGAGATCTTATAAAAATGAGCCGTCGAACGCAGTTTCCTCACAAACTTTCTTGTTTTTTTTGCAATCTAGAACTTACAAATTACGAAGCGGAGGTTCAGTGTCCTTTTTACGGTGTTCCAGAACCTCACACTGAAGGGTTAAATTTATTATTTTCAACATTTATAAGCAGGTGTTTGCTTCTACAAGTTCTGAGCAATATATTTTTCGTTTATACGAACGAGCAGTTATTTTGATTTATTGGGGAACTGTTACAAATAACGTTGTATTGCACGATATCCACACCCCACCTGAAACATGGTGAACATATCGAACGCATTATTAATTCACGCTAACGTAAAAGTGGAGGTTTTGAATATTTTACGACTTCTATTGTTGCTGTTTTAAAAAGTTGGAAAATTCATGACGCTGAAGTGGATTGTTGTATTAAGAGTGAATAAAGAACACGCAAGTCGGTAATTTCGTCGTTAATTGTCCACACCGACATATCACCTTTATAAAAATGTAAAACACACCACTTGCAAAGAAACGAATCCATTATGCGTTACGCACGAAATAAATCTGCAGCGAAACGCTACAAAGTATACATGGACAATCAAATAAATATTACGCTTCACTTAAAATAAAATAACAAAAATGTAGCATAAATAGCTGGTGATAATGAAATTTGTTTACGCGGAATTGTTATTAAATAGACTAAACTAAATAAACCACCTCACGGCTCAGCAATAAAATTCTGCAATTTCGATGAGAGGGGCGTAGGAGTTCTGTAATGGTGTTGCCAACTAAAATTACAAACCTTTAAACTAACCGAACTTGTATCGAACACTTGGACCGTTAATGGAATAGGAAACAGTTTACCACAGGAAAACATTTTCCTGACACACTGAACTGCAATAAACGACTGTATTCGTAAAGAAAATCATAGAAATATGTCATTTTAAAAGAAATATGTACCTATAACCTTTTTACGAGTTCACACAAAACCTACCTAGCCTAACTCAACATCAAATTAAAAGCAAGGTATCAACGTGTATTCAAATCAATAGATGCAAAGACATAATAAATACTAACACCAATCATATCTGCTCTGCTCCTCACTAGGAAACAAGATTAAATTATAAAATTAATAACAATAGAAACAAGTAGATCAACTCACGCAATACCTTAGAGGAGTTATGTGATTACATATGTGCGTTCAATATTGACCAAAAACTATTTTCATCCAACTCATTATGTTGACTACAACACAACACTATTACAAATTAAAGACACTTTATTCTAGAAACTTAGTCTTATAGCAAAAGATTTAAAAGTTCAAACAAACACATCTCACAAAAATTCATAACACACAGTTTTTTAACAATGAAAAATTATTCTATCGAAATCTAACTAAAACAGACAAAACTCAGTTAGATTTCCAAGTTCAGAAGATTTAACAATTTTCTGGTCGAAACTTTGTTTTCAATAATTTAAAAGTAATAAATCTGCCCAATGGATTCCTCACATCCAATAAACTATTCTCAGTTACAACAATGAACGATAAATCAAATAACACTTGACGAATTGATGAATGCAATCAACAGAACACAAAACTGGAAATCACCAGGACAGCGACATGGAAAATTCTTCAAAGACGTAAACGAAACTCACATCAACAAGAAAATGTCATTGATTTAGATGAAGAAATGCATCCAATGCTAAATTTTCAGAAAATTTCAATTCTGCTTTTAGTAGAGTGTAATAGAGTTAGTCGTCCAGAAGCGAGTCAATTCAAATCGATTCTAAAGCACGAGCACGTTATTAAGACAGGAGCATGATTCGCTGCAGATTATGGCTCTATATATGTTTAGTTGTAAACTCTGGTGTACTCAATAAATAAATTGTTGAGTTTTATTTTATTCTGAATTTTAGGCGTCTCTTAATATGGACAACGCAAAACAACAACGTTGTCATCGATTAAACTAGCCAAGATTGCACAAACCCATATGCATCCTCTTGTTGGCTTCAGGACTGGGTTTAGATATGTATTTCACTCGGTCGAATTAATTAATCCTTAAAAAGTTTTTCGGGTACTTTACTACAACCTACAACTCTGCTTGAGAAGGCTTCGCGAGATAACCAAAATGAACGACTCAAAGCAAATGCGAAGTTATCACCTGTCAGGGTCTAGATGTAAACAAATGCACTCGTGCAATGATAATGGAGGTATTCAATATATCAAGCTTTATTAAATACCTTATCGTTCACATGACTTTATTCTCATTAATTTCTTAACGTGTGTTGTTTAACTTCATTTCGATGTTTATCCGTACTATAAATATATTTGACAGGATACATCTATCTCCCGTTTTCCCCATACGAAAGTTGAGCTGTGTAAAGTATATCCTATTTTTTCTTCCACACAAACCTTTTACTCTTCTCTAAAACCAACAATATTTTACCGACGCAATCACGAAGCTCCGACTACAAATTAGAACTTTTTTTTTTAATAAACTGCAGAGACAGACTAACGGAAATATCTATTACACGTAACTATAAAAACGAAAAGTTTTGTCTTTTTGTAAAGCGCTTCGTCATAAAACGAGCTTTCACTGCACTGTTAACAATAGCGTAAATGTATATCGTACAATATTCGCTGAACAAACTTTCGGTAAACAAAAGAGGATTACACATTAATTTTTAGTTTTCGGGCAAGTTGCTTCAGTAAAGCCACATTTTCAAACAATTTCAATTAGGTAAACTTCAAACTTGTTTTAGACGGTATTAAGCTGGAGTTATTCTCCCAAGTAACAAAGGTTGAATGCGTGACCAATCCATTAGGGAAATCTGAGACATTGTTAAACAATATTACACAAATTCACGCAGATTTTTAGTCGCCGGACGACACGTGTCGCATTTCATAAACCTCACGAAAGTCATGTTTTTCACACCTCAAACGGAACAACACATATTGTACGCATGCAACGATAACACCTACATAAAACATAATAAAAGTATTAATCTGTTTCATTTTTTCCGAAAAGGACGAGCTATTTGCGATCTTCGCCCACTTTCCAAATACCTCAAAAACGCCAAACGAAAATTCACACATAATTCCATAAATCCACGTTTAAACCAATTTAATTCGTTCACCAAAGCCAAGCTGAACCGCTACATTAAGGTACTTACCCCCAGCGACAGATGGAGCTAAGTTGCGGATGTAACCGCAATGGGCTTTTAGATCTGCGAACGGCGGCCCCACCGCCCAGATTTCATCGTGAAACTTCATCTTAATCAGATCAACGATTGCGTAAATAGTTGGTTATCATTAAGCAGACGCCGTTCCGGTCCTCCACGATCGAATAAAGCGACGATCACATTTTAAAAATCATCTTACGTTTTACTTCTGCAAAAGAGAATACAAAATTGAAGAGGTTTTCGTGACCCGCAGTATGTGTGCTCTTTAATATTCATGCAAACGTCCAAGAGCTTCCGAGGCACTGCTGCTCCAGAAAGAATTTCAGACAGTTACAAGGTGAATTTTTTAAGGATTAGTGTTTAGATAAAATTTCGAGTAGCTGAAGAGTGACACTGCCGCAATAACGCAATTTAAAAAATGCGTGTGGTTGAACGTTTCGTTTGCTTAGTTGGTTAATGGTATTATTGCAAAAGCATAGTTCAAACGAACGGACAACTACAGATTACGCTAGTTGGTGTTGTGCTTTAACACCGCTCACATTATTTATTTACTTTTATTTTAAGTTACGACTATGTCATTTACATTTCCTATAACAGTGCAACATGGTTCCTGAAAAAAAAAACTTTGTAACAAGAGGGGGCGCTTGTCCTATAAGGCAGGTGAGGCAATTTGAAAGATCCTGAGAGAATCTAAAGGAATCTGAACTAACCTGTGAAAATCTGAGAGAATTTACGATAATCTGGGAGAAATACGAAGATTCGGAAAGAGTCTGAAGGAATTTAAAGGAATCTGAAGGAACCTGTGAGAATCTGAGAGAATTTTAAAGAATTTCAATGAATTTGGAAAAATCTAAGAGAATCTAAAAAAACTGGAAGAACCTGCAAGGATCTGAATAGAACTGAAAAATTTGAAAGAATCGTGAGGATTCCTGACGCTCTCTTTGAAGGAATCTGAAAAAATTCGAAAGAATGTGAAACAATCCGAAAGCATCCAAAAGCATCCGAAGTAATCAAAAAGGAAGAACCTTAAAAAAAGACAAGAATTTGAAAGAATCAGAAGGGATTGGAAGGAATCTAGACGAATCTAGATAAACCTAGAAGAATCTAGAAAAAACTAGAAGAATATGGAACAGTATGTATGGAGCAAAGTGATATGAAAAAATTTGATAGGATCTAAAACGATTTGTAAAGATGTGGAAAATTCTGAGAAAATCTGAAGGAATCTTGGGGAATATTGAGGGAATCTGAAAGGATAGAAAAAATCTGTAACAAAGTATGTATATTTTTTCTTAAAACTTTCGCATTAATTTTTCAACATACTGATACTGTCTTTTATGTTTTGCAAAGCAAGTTCGTTGACAGATATTCTCAGAGCTGAAAACTAACTAGTTTAGGTAAATTACGCGAATTTAGACAGAGTGACTATTTTTTAACAAAATTTATGGAAAACTTGATATTGATATTTTACTGTTAAGACGTTTATAAACGAAGTGAAATTATTGATAAACAAAAATTAAAGCAAATTTGGCTGGCATAAAAAAATTACACATTTTTGACGTGCTTACAACTAAAAAGCGTTAACTAAAAGCACAAGCACGACAATATAATTTTTTCGACATTTAGATATTGGAGCATCTTGTGCTTTGCCTCAACTCATGAGTCGCCTCTGGTTACAACATATGTTTAAACTTGACAAGTTTTACAGCTCTCGTGTAGTCTCTGAACTGAATTTTTCGTCCCCATGAACGGCTGGGCCCCATTTTAAAATCGAATTACCACAGTGAATTTCACTATATTCCCCCAAACGAAAATGTAAAGTCGTTTTTCTATAATAATTTTTGCTGCGAATTTGTGCTACTTCCAACTCAGTCAAAATTTAATTAATATCTATATCACAAAAAAATAATTTTGCAAACAATGTTTATGGGTGTATACCAGTTTCAAAAACTTGTACAAAGTATTCTAAGCATACGAAAAATAAAATTTCAGTCTCTTCAATCATTTAGAGCTTCCAACTTCCTAGCTTTAAATCCAAGATCAAGGTTACAAAGTACGGACGCCTGCATAGAATATTAAATCACAAATTTCAAACACGTTCGGCTCAGAAGCAACTTCTTGTCTCGTACTCCGCATTTCTCACTCCACGAATTTGATTCCTTGTTGTGTAGAGAGCTGTATTTAAAAACGAATAACTCTCACTAACAAGATTATACGTTGTTTTATTTGTGGAAGAAAATCTGAAAGAAAAAGTTTCGCGATGATTAACGCAACCCCAACTTCTACTTCTCTTTGCAAATGAATAACAACAACAGAACATCGACGGAAACGCTGCTGCATTATTTTGTACAAATGATTGATGATAAGTACATTGCGTGAGCGAATTCTATAGTTGGGCTTAATTTATTGCCTAATGGCAGCACAAAACTAATGATTATTATAATTCACTCAGGAAACGGCGTATTTCTGCTTGAGCTGAAAAGGCACATCGTCTCAATGGGATGGTTTTAATGAAGATCACACATCTAGAGTTGGAAGATATTAAAAGGGTTATTATTATTTGTTCCCTGGGATCAAATCTGAATCTTTTTTACCTCTCGAAATCGTCTTACAATTAATGTCAAAACTGACAAGCTTTTAATGTGAAAGACAAAAACTTGCATTTTTTCTAAAACTGAAAAGAGCAACAAAAATTTATGGGCAAGTTGTTGTTTGTTAAAGCGCCGCATTATTACATATGAATAACCCAGCATTTTTTCATTATTAGTTAATTTACAAAAAGCTTCGTTTCATTATTTGCCTTGGATCTCAATTAACCGTGTTTGCTTATTTTATTATAAAAGCTGGTCATCCTACTTCAATAATTTCATCGTGTACAGAATTTTCCCTGTAATCAATAGAGATTTGCGTCAATTAAACGCCCTCGTATGTTCACTCCTGAAACTAGTTTAATTACGTAGTGTAGCCAACCTTCTACACATTTTCTATGACATCTTCTTTCATCTTATTCCGCTGTCACTACAACGAATTGGCCAACGAGCTTTCAAAAGCTCTCCCGCAGGCCTGGAGCCAATAAACCATAATAAGCCCTCCCTTAGAACACACAGAGAGAAAGATAAACTCGCTATATGTATTCTCATTATGGACATTACAAGAGATTAAAGCAACTAGACCTGAATTGCAAGGAAACGACTTTGACACTTTGAACATTAAAGCATGTCAAGTGGAAAATTATCCATTTACAGATTTAGCCAAAGAGGTAAACGACGCATAGATGGGGTTAACGATTCCGGTGGCAATTAAACAAAGAATTTTCAAACATTCAGCTTGATACTGAGCAGTCATCGACTTTCGGTTCGGGAGAACCGACCAAAGCGTAATGAATGATAATAAACTAATGAAGTTTAATAAAAGAAATTATCGGAGGAAATCTTGTTCCAACCGACAAAAATTGAAATTATTACTTGGGGAGGAGAAACCTCGCGATGGAAGAGACGGGTGCAGATTGTTTTCTCATTACAGAAATTTATTAAGTAAACACAAAAGTAATACAAAAGTTGTCAAAATCGTCTGGTATCTTCTATAGTACGCATTCGAATCAAAGCAGTAGTAAATCAGAACGATGCGGAATATTTTGAGGTAATTGTATAAAAAGACAATACTCATGAAATTTCCACTGCAAAAATCATCGAAAGACCTGATCACACTTAACAAACGTGTTAATTGGTTAAAACAATCAGATATGAAATCATAAAATTTTAAACAGATTGTCAACCTAACAAAAAAAAACACGAATATTATTATTGTCACTCTGAATTCGCTGCAGGCTCAAAATTCAGCCTTTACTTTAACGTCAATCTTTGTAACGAAACAAACAATGATAAATGGCTACGAAGACGTCAGCAAAGTCTTTAACATCTGGAACGTTTTTCTTAATTTTTACTAAAGAAATGCGTACATTAAAGTTTATTCCCTTTCTGAAAAAAACAAGCAGTTTTAATCCAAAACCAGTTCCGCGCGAATTTACGTCAATTAGAACTTTGCAAGAATGTATTGATCCGATAACGTGAAACGTCATGTCAAGCTTTATGGCAAATGGGTTAATCCAGTTAGTTTTACCCAAATAAAGGAAGTTTACACGAAAGTGTATAACTGAATTAGCATAGTTTGGTTGGTGGAAAATGTCGAGAATTATACGAAATATGGGTCCACGTAGTTCACCAAAAAAATGAACATTACAAACTTTATGGAAAATTGTTCTCTAAACGTGACATTTTTCAACAGTTTAGTACCCTAGTAATTCCTTATTATCCTAACTATAGTTACAATTACCACAATGGCAATTTCTACAAAAACATTTCTCGCACATTTCCGAAAAAAAAACACCATAATGGATTTCTGTTTTCACAAGCATTAATAAAATTCACTTAACAAGTATATGGAGGATTAACAAGAACGAAACGCATTTGTTGAGTTTAAACGGTAAACGCCACCGTAATAAAAATACACCCATTCTGATGACCTGCTTAAATACCCGGAATTTAATTTCCAACAAGCAATTTGGTTTCAATTTCAATTAAAAATTGCCACTCAGATCTCTATTAAATAGACTAAAACAATTCAGGTTAGAGGAGCTCGATTGAAATTTCAACAAAAGCTAAATTACGTCATATAATTCAAAACAATATGCTAATTTAGACGATCGCAGTTCATCGCAACAAAAGCGCCTGTCGTTTATTGCCATCACACAAACCCTCTTCGTTTTATAAAACGCTAAACTTATGTAAAAAGAGAATTTAAGTTGTCATTGTCAAACCTACGTAAAGTACAAAATAATGAGACTTTATGGGTGTATCAGAAAAATCACTTCCGTCACCACGCAAAAATCGAAAGTCACTCATTTCAACCGTCAGGTTTTCGCGGTTTAAGTGAAATTTCACAATGTAAGACTGGGTAATAAATCGTTTTACAACTCTATTGATTTTAAGTCTTGGGTCAAATTTATTATTCTAACAAATAGTACCCCACAGGATCGAAGCTTTACCATTTGATTAAATATATCGTCCTAACCAATATAGGGGTCAGAGACATGTTTGCTTAGGAAATAAACATGGCGCGGCACCTCACAGATCGATTAATAATTTATCATGTTTTGGCATTCCAATACAAGTTAATTATTCAGAATATTAGTCTACTATTCCACGATAAAGTGACGCAGTGACGTAGATTAATTGCACAATTTTCGTTGGCTGACTACAATAAATTAAAGTTGAGTGAAAATATCAAACATGAACAATATATGCATAATAGAAAAATAGTTTTGTGTTATATGTTTATCTTCATCGGCAGTTTTTAAAGAACAGCCCTTTCCACAGTCATAAATCCCGTTATTCAGCGATGGTAGTTTTTAATTATTCTTTCGATGTTGCTTATTCGAACAACACCATAAACTTTGATGATAAAGTAAGCGAATAATGAAATAAAGTCTATAAAATACCAGAGAGCGCACAAGAACGGCACCCTATCATGAAACTTTTATATCAAATGTAAACAAAAGAAAACGCAACAATACCTACACGGAATAAATACGACTTCGAAAGTTTATTACACATTCCGTAAACAAGAAAGTGGCAGCTTTCAACAGTGTGCAAACAGGTAGGCTTGCACAAAAAAAAACTATTTACTCTAGGAAAGCTTTACGTAGTGCCAATAAAAAATGCACCTATTGAAGTTTTTAAAGAACCAAAACCACATCTCCAAAAGGTAAGATAATTATAGTATATCTAATACAAACAATGCTGCTTAAAATCTTACTTCAATTATTTATTTTGCTTTTGAAGCTTTTACTGTAACACATTTAAGGACGTGTAATTATTTCATACTTCAAAGAAGATTATTCTCATTAAAACCGTCCTCAGATTTAGTCGTCCACTCTTAAAAAATATATCTTAATCAAGGCTAATGTTGCCAGCGTGATTTAATTTCTTTATATTTAATAAGCAAAAGTTCACATTCTTTTGATCCTTGCTTTCTCGTAAAAACAACACAACACAAAAAATAATTCTTCCTTCTACAGATAAAGATATTTGGTTAAAGTAATAAATATATTTACTTCCCAAAATATTCGCTACCTCAAGAACAAATTACCTGGAACAGTAAAACATTCTTACGCAAAGCATCGCTGAAATGATTTGGTGGAATTTATATGAAAGTGGAGGAGAACTGTAGTTTATATCCACACTGGCAAAAAATTATTTATTTACACAGAATTTCCTTCGCCTCTGTTTTGTGATAACTTCTATAAAATAACCAGTGGCGTAAATAACACCCCCGCAGCACGGATAACCAACTGGAAAAAATGTATTATCAATACATGCTTAACTTCGATTGTTTATGTTTATACATCGAAAGAATGATGATTTTATCTTCGCAAAACAGAGGAGAGGCATCAGAGTCCAGACGCAGAAAGTGAAACAACAAACTGTTTGTTCAATTCTTGTGAAAACGTTCACAATATATGTTCGGTTAAGTTACTACTATATTTTTATTACTTCATAGGTACCTATATTTGGACTACTGATTTTTGGATTAAAATACTGAGACGATAGTTTAATTAAAACATAAATTATATAAAAGAAAAAACGAATTCCTTTAGTGACGACACAAAAATGGTATTTTTTCTGTATCTGAATCACATACAAACATATCCTCTTTTTCTCGATGATCTATAAAGTTGGTAAATTTGACAAACGTTACATAAGAATTCGTGATAAACGTTTACAATCTCAGATTCCCCCCTTCCTAAAGTTATCATTTTTTAACTTTTATTATAATGCAACTTATAAGACAAAAAAATCACTGTCTATTTGAAGTATTATTCTACACAGTATCTATATAATACTTCGTATTTTAGCACAATCTGCATTTTTTTTTAATACCATAAGGTTTTACAAAAGCAAAGATTTAGATACAGGTTTTTATTCTCAACAATTTTAATATGTCATATTTTCCTCTAAAATAATTAGAGAAGCCAATATTTTCACGTTTCTGTTTTTACATGTAAAATCTCTGTTCCAAAAATGATTATACGCCCGGTTTATGCTTCCAGTCATAAAACTTTTTGAAAATCGTAATTGCCAAAGTGGGATTTTGAAAGGGTTTACAGCATTCTTTATCAACTACGCTTGAAATAAGAGCCAAAATATTTAGAGCAACAATAGCCGGTCGGTTTACAACCTCCGTACAATAATAATTAAAACCCATCTTTTCTTCATAATAGAAGTGCTTTGTAACAAAATATCGCTCCATCAAGATTCAACCCGCAGAAACTCCGTTCAAAGTCCGCCAAATCAATAGTTTTTTTTTTCTTTTTTAGAAAAATCTGTAGCAGTCATCTAAAACTTTACTATATCTACAATCACGATCGTTAGCCGATAGGAAGAAAAATCCATCCTCCACCCGACCAAGAACGGTCGAGTCACAAATCCTCATCCACCGGAGATGATATCGCGGCAGTGTCACTACCCGCAGAAGCTAATACTAACCATTCGTAAATAAAACTGTTGGTATTTGAAAAGCGCCCCATCGATAAGCCCTAATCAAATAGTCGCCATGAGCGAGCACAAACAGTGCCAAGGAATATCAAACATTAACATCAAACAATCATACAAACGTACAAACGCTGGCTGAACGAATCCCGACAATGGGTGGAATCGATCACGGCGGCACGTGCACGCAGATAAGGGCCCCTCTTCGGGCACACACGTGTCGACTTCGCGAAGACGTCGTCAGCGGCGAACGCTTTGCCCGTCGCGGTGAAGAGAGCACTGACTGGAGAGGCGAAGCGTGTCGCGGCTCCGTCGCCGTCTTGGTCCTGCGCCCTGCGTGTCCTGGCGTCATCAGGATCAGAAGAACAGGTGCGCCGCGCCCGCGGTTCAGGAAGTACACCGAGGCTCTGAACTCGACGCCACCAATTCCTTTCTGGGCTTACAAACGAGAGGAAAATTCCACTAGGGTAACCAATGTTTTAGTATGATGTTTGATCGCCCGAACTACGGGCCTGACCACTCTGAAATTTTTGCTGCGGCAAGGTATTTCAGAAGGTCGCTAAGTAAATAACATCAGTATGACTCTTCGTCATTTTTAATTATTTTTATTCCAAGAAATTAACTAAACTATTTACATATTCGTGTAACCCCCGAAAGTCATTTCAAAAAATTCTTAAATAAACCCATATGGAACAATACGCGCTGTGAAGCGCTCACGGAGAAGACCGAAATACAGTATCAATATGCGAGGGAAGGATCAGGATCCAAAGAAATTGAATTTCGGAGGACTTATCCTGACAACTGGAATCTCAATCGAAGGTTAGCAAAAGAAATAGGTTAATGTTTGAAAAGACAAAATTGTTACGTAGGCAGTATTGATCATTATTTTTGTTATTATTATCATGCTCCCCTACAGAATAATCCAATTATTGGGGAGAATAGAATAAGGTTATAGAATAAAAATAAATAAAGTTAAAATAGTTCAGTGGTACGCCAACAATATACGCGATTGGTAGGTACATGTACTAGCCTTGTAAAACAGTTCCTTTCTGAAGAAGGAATAAAAAAAAAATCAAAACCATCTCCTTCCACCGTTTAGCATTAATTTTACATAACCCAGGCGAAATTGTTCGATATCGCATTCAGACGAACATAATGGAATAATTATTCACACAAAGCTGCGAGTGTTATAAATGGACTTTGATCCAATTATTGAAAATCAAATTCATATCCGTGATGTGGTAACCGTTTGAAAAATTTAATAGCGACAGAAATTACGTTGCATCCAAAGAATTAATATAATTTACGACTTCAAAGGCCAAAACAAAACGTCGGAACATGTTTTGTACGCAGTGTAATTGATGTTCCCTTTGACATTAAGTATTCGTTGGAAATACAATAAAATACAGTTCGGCTTACAATAACAAGCATCACAGCGTAAAACCGGATAAATATGATAAGCCTTTGCTAGATGCAGACATCAGTCGTTTGGCAGCGAGCTCTTACAAAAATAAACCATATGCGGGTAAACGTGTAATGCGTCTTCTTTTGCCCTATACATATTTTAGGCGGTGTGCCAAGTATACTAGTTATAAATTATAAATTTCGTGGAAAACGTGAAAAATACGTACGCTGAAGTACTTTTCATTACAAACATTACAACGTTCTGAAAGTTAAACCTTTATTCATCGAAAGTTTAACTTGTAGTGAGATTTCAACAATGTTTATGGAAATTTACAAAGGGTGTGGTAAGTTATAAACATAACAAGCATTAATAATAAATTATTGTACCGGGTGACTATTAATAATTGTCAATTTAATATTATTTTAACAGTATTATAAATACATATTTTGATGTGAAAAAGCAAATTAATTTCCACACCTCTATTTTAACACTATTCATAGCGACATTGCCTTCCCAAAATTGGTCGAATTAAACTAAACTAAACAGGAATTTTCTACAACAAATTATTTAATACATATTTCTTAAGTTAATATTCTCTATTCCCTAAAAATCGAAATTTCAAGAAAATCTGTTGCGTATTTTTTTAATCAAATTGTAAAATAATGATGGATGTTTGAAGTAGGTGATGAAAATTTTATTACGACTTTAACATCTTTCTGTTAATCATAAATATACCTACTTCAAATTTCAAGGTAAACGGTAAGGTTGTTTTCAAAAAATTATCCGTACAAAAACCGAAAAATTTGCGTTTTTCTATAAAGTTTCACAATCATCAAAATTATTTCACTGCAATATTTCCCTCAGTAAAAACCCACCTCAACTCCCATCTACATGCACTGAATAAAACAACAGATAACAATTTCTGTTATAACCATTTCTTAATTTTAGGATTTACACATTGTGTGATTAAAGCCAAAACTAAAACGAAAACAAGAAGTTGTGCTTTGCATACAGAATGTGTACTTAGTACTGCATTGAAAAATAAATTCCTCCCAATCTGTATTTATTACACGGCATCCAATTTTTGCTGATTCTTTACGAGTTCAGACGCACCGTGTTTCATTTTGAAGCTCATCTTTTATTGTCGCATTTTTAATGACCACTTGGCAAACCGTTAATTTTTCTTGTATTTTTAAGGTGTATCCAAAGCGTTACGTGCGTAAAGTTATTTTATGTTTGTCTTATCGGTTTACTTTAGTGGCTTCGGTTGACTCTTTATTGTTTGTCAAACACGGAATTTTACGGGCCAGTTTTTGTTGCGACATTAAACTACTAAACCGTAGTTAAAACAGATAGTGGATAGATTTAGCTAAAGAACTAATGAGGTTTCTACAATTTCCAGAAGATAAATAGGGCAGCAACTGTGATAAAAATTAAAGTAGGTTCGCACCAACGTTAATCTTTATTTGGGACGAAATCATTGAGAATTCTCAACGAATCTAACCAATTATTTAGGAAGAAAGAGGCTGTACATTCTAATATTTATCAAAGGATAAACTCAACGTGACACCGTCTTTCCACACAGACTAAAGTAAAATTTTATCTTATCAGAGTTTACCCGGCGCCTCCACCATTTCAGATACTTTCCTGGGAGAGGTATCATATATTTCGCAAGGGTACATATAAAACGTCGAAGTCATATGATGTTTAAAAATATACGAAAACATATTCTTCATTATTGATTTCGGTTGATGTCAAACCTGTTCAAGAATTCATTGCCAAACATATCTTATTCCTCCACAAAAAAAAGGCAACTGGCATCAGGAACGATTTTGGTTATTGAGAATAATAAACCTTACTTACAGACACACATATGCGTTCGAAATGTACTTTCAATGCTCAGTATACAAATAACGTAGTCAGTCATCCATAAATTTTTCGACAGGCCCTTCAATACATACACGTAAAAGCTGTATAATAATGCCCTCTCTTTCACATAGCTGTTGAGTAGAAATATAAACGAAGGTGAAAAATTTTAAATAACAACATACGAATAATTTTGTAATAATACAATATAGTTGCCGGCGTTTTTTGTGATGATCGTAAACATTCTTGGCTTTTTCGATAAGAACTACATAAAAAAAGATTTCATCTGTTTTTTTAACACGTTTAACAATAATTTTGCCTGCTATTACGTGTAAGTTAAGTATTGCAAAACCGTATGATTAACTATCGATCTCGTTTTGTTTCATTGCGTAATGTTAGGCAACCCAAAATACATACAGCGTTCAAGTAGGAAATAATGATTTTCAATTGTGTTGTTTCACTTACTACAACGACGCTATTGTTGTAGCAACGAATTTGTGGACGGTGTTTTTCTCTTAATGCTGATTAAATTACTAATTTTATTTATACAAAAATCGGATTCACTGCATTTGCAATTTACATAATGTTCTTTTTTTTTTTATGTGTACTTACCGCTAACAGCAGAAATAAAGGAAACACTTACCTGAAACAAAATAATTAGTATTAAACTAAATTGTAGTTTCAGAAAAAGGATAATACGCTAATAAACATGTAAAGTCATCTGTTCACATTTTTCACCACCAATTTACTTAAAAAGCACACATGGCAGGGCTACAGAATTTGAGTTTCAAGGTAAATGATGTGAACGTATCAATTTTTTCGTAATAATCAAACTGTCAGCTGCTGTCAATCACTAAGAATGTTACTAACAGCAATTTAGGGATATATGAACACAAGATCTCCCAAATAAGACAACACCCCGAAAATATCAAGCCAAATACAAAAAAGCTGATGACAGACGTCGTGGCAAAACCCACGAAGTGGTCAAATTGGTCATAATGTCGTGCTTAATTTTAGGAATAAAACAAGCTGGCATCTTATCTATATCTCCATCTATCTATCAAAATTGAAAACAAAAATTTATCTTAGTACAAAATTCAATTGGATGTATATCTCTCGGAAACTAAATTACTAACTGTAAAAAACTCCGGATAATTATGCTTTTGTGTCAAAAGTCAAAATCAACCTTGACATCACACTCATTAATGGACACCCTTGTATAATAATTTAACGCTAGCATGATCACGAATATCAACAGCTGTATAATTTATTAAATTTTTCTTTACACGCCAAATCACAATATTAATGGAATACAATAAGTTATTAAAAATACGTTTGTAATAGCATGTTTTAAATCAAAACACTGTATAGATACATTTAATTTATTGTAGGATACTATTCCTATGTAATTAGGACTATTTTCGTAGGAATCTGACTGTTTACATACATATAATATATAAGTATACTATATAATTTTGTTCTCAGTTCTCCATTGTTCGCGCTTCTCCATTCAACAAAGCATTTGTTTGGAATGAGTAATAATAATAATCAATGTCATAATGAATAGGTACTAAACGACTATACAATTTGTAGCAATTAACTCAGGCGATATCCTGTTTATTCGTTGCAAATTTCTTAAAAAACAAAAAACAACAATACAATCATTATTTTCACAATCTAATCTTTGCAACATACATATTCTTAAACTATAGCTATATTTACGAAAGGACAACGTTCCTACGGTATTAACCATTTTAAAATTCTGTTGAAGCAGTTTTTCAATCTCTATTATTTACAAATTGGGTAATCATTAGAAAACGAAAACGTATATTTTTTTGTTTGTTAAAGATTTTATTTAAATTCTCGGTATCACGCTGTCACTATGTAAACGCGATTAGCAGACGCATTCGAATGTATTTCTCCGTCCCTCCCTTTAGTATTGCAAGACATGCTAAAGATAAGGTAATCCATGTGAAATAAACAGTTCGTTCACATTTGTATTTTTTCAACTTTAACAACAGAATTAATGTTTTCATGTTTAATTTAAAAAAAAACTGGAAAAACCCATTGTGCAACAAATAATAACAGAGGTTTAATTTTTACAGAGTGCTACTAAAAAAAATTCGCCAAAAAGTCCTAACACGGGAAGTATTGCTGCTACAAACATAACCGATTTGTTACGTTATTGTAAAAAATGAAATAGAATATATGTATTCATGCACATCGTACTTTAGAACCACTCTGAAAAGATTAATCTTTTTGAACATATCGTTAGTGACTGACTATGTATACAACACTACAATGTATATTTGACTCACTTGGCTTTTAGTGATTCGTCAAACTGAACTCGACGACCAATTTTTGTCAGCGAGAGCAAACTAAACAAGAAAAAAACATATTATGCAAGAATCAAATGCATAAGATAGAAACTATTCTCAAATTCCTAACGTCGTATCCTTCAACGATCAAACAAAAGTTGCCTACGTCAATCTATTTGATGATAAATATCGCATCCGTAAAATGAAGTACCTACACAAGTACTTGGGAGGAGACTCCATTGTATAATCAGTCTATTAATTTTAATTATATTTTCAATAATTACGTTAAAGAATAGTCTCTATCGTCTGAACTTATTTTTTATGATGACAATTTCGATTATTTTCCGCAAGTTATAATATCCTTGACGCGCATTGTCTTAACGAGATTTGTTGTATAAACCGTTTGTTTACATAACATTAATAAGTACCTTTTCAACGATATCACCGAAACTACGATATGAACGCTACAGTAACGTTATCTTACACGTACCTACATAAAATTCATTTATTTCCTTGTGGGTTGGTATGGAAAGCGTAACTGAGAGATCGACTTCAACAGTGATTTTTATTTTGTTGTGGCTGACGTTGCTAATTCAACTTAACGTAACTGCTCAGGTAAGAACAACCAACTTAAATCTCATTTTAACATCGTTATTGATGTAATTTTTCGAACTCACAAAAAAGATAATAGTGTCCGTAGAGAATTTTTCAGTCATCTATGCATTTCTTGATTTTTAGAAGGTAGTATCCACCTGTAGGTTAGATAAAATATAGTTGTAAGTATGTATTATATGATGATTCACCTAAATGCTAGTAGATACCTACAAGTAGGCGGTATTCCATACCATAAAATTAAGTGGGCGCTGTGACGGCGAACGAAGTATAAAAAAATTATTATGCCTCATTTATAATCACTTTTAACCTGAAATAAAATAAATGCTGACGTGTTTTAGGAATGTTGCACTAAACGGAAAGCACGATAATTTTCAAAAAAACCAAATGCTGTTTAATTTATTCGTTTTTGTTTGGCAGTATACATATTTTTGGTTTATTAATTGTCTGAAAATAGTGTGCACTTCTAAAATTACCTAAATAATCGTTGATTAATTTTAATTCATTTTCTTTTCCTTTTTTCCAGATTCAAACTAACGTCGACGATATAGGGACCCAAAGCAGTTTTCTTCGTCAAACATTTTCGAATTCCACTACTCAAGACGGAGACGGTAATATTGCTTAAATTTACTTTTTAAACGAAGGAAATATTCGCTTATTTTTAAAATGCAATTAATTTAATTGATTTAAATTTTACTTTTGCATAAAAAATATCTCTGTTCTGATTTCGGCACGTCGATATATTTTTTGTTCAGAAAAACTAACATTCATGCAAATTTGTAACTCTCCTTTGAGGGGATACACGAATACCTCGAAGTTAGCTCAAATGAACTTATAGATAAAAGTTAATAACAGTGATAAAGTGACCTCATCAGTGCTTTTTGGAAACATGATGACACACTCGATTACAGTATCGTAACTTAGTTACAGTACATTCATTGAGATCTTTTTCCGTCATTATCTTTTTACTTCCCGAGCGTAAGCTAAGGAAGTATTGTGATCGAGGCCGAAATAACCTTCAACCAATTTTTTCATCTTCTACTTAATTTTCGGATAAAATGTAATATTTCAATACACTCCAGGTTACAAAAAAAAAAACAACACTTCAGTAGTTTTTTTAAGCACATTGCCTTCGATTCGACCGTGCTACTTCCAATTTAGTTTATGCTTTTTTTAGCACGTTTTATCAGGAAACAACACGGTTTTGTGTTGAAATCGTAAAAAATCTTATTATTGCAATAAAAACAGATAAATACGATTAAAGTGATAAATTTGTACAAAAATTTGCACTGAGATTGGAAGAGCTGACGCGTAAATAATTATCTTTTAATTTCAAAATAATATATACTACCAAAACATATAAATAGCACCGGTCATGTTGGTTTTGCGAGGGAATGGACGTTCGATATAATTAATTTTTGAATCTGTAAACACTTTTTAGTTGGATCGAAGTAGATTTGCATTTGTATTTCAAAAACACTGTTTTAGATTTATAGAAACATAAATCACTGAAAGATTTTTTACTTGCAAGTATTTATTTCAGACGCGAGAACACGACCGACGTCGATAACTCCAATCGAATACAGTACAATAGTCACTCCAACACCGACTCCAAGAGATGCTGATATAACTTCTGCAACTATCACTTTATCAACAAGAATTACCAGCGAACCCACCACTCTAAGATCCACAGAAACATGTCCTAAATTAAAATTTGGAAACTACACTCTACCCGAAACACCAGTCGGATCTTGGGCGACGCCAGAAGGCACGGTCTGTCTGAACAAAAATGGAACACTCGTACAAATTCACTGTTTGGACAACGGCGTATGGAATTTATCCGAAGGAATAACGTGTTACGAGAGAGATACATCAAGTTCTACCACTACTACTACTATTACGACTAATATTACTACTCCTACCACAACACCTTCCCCTAAGCCATCTGTAAAAACGTGTCCTAGAAAAAAAATTGGAGAGTACACTCTACCAGAAACGACAGCAGGATCATGGGCAATACCCGAAGGTGTGATCTGCTTAAACGCAAATTACACTCCAGTACGAGTACAATGTCTGCGCACAGGTAGCTGGGACTTAAATTCAAAAATCGAATGTCCTCAAGAAAATATATCAGACACCACAAAGGAACTATACGAGGTACTTGATGAATCTCCTGTGGCAGCACTAAGTACGACGAACACCATCATTAAAGAAAAAAAATCCGAACTGAAAGAAATAGACATACATTTTATATCACAGGTACTGAGTAAGGCAAGCGAGGACGGAGATGTAGCTACCAACCCTGAGACGTTCATAGGAACCATCGACGAAATTATGAGTGTAAACAAAAGTACACTTGCATCGTCACAACTACTTCTTAACGCCACCGACACGATCTTGTATAGTTTAGACCAAATGCTGCTAAAGAGTGGAAACATCTCTTTTCAGGTATCTAATTTAACTCTACGCACCATCGATAACAATTCCAGGAAAATATACGGTGCAATGATCACAGAAAACGAAGAAGGTCGTAACTTTACTTTAGTCAAAGACAATTACGAAGAGACGCTAACAAACACAGATTTTGATATTGCGTTTGTAATACCGCCAGAAACTACAAACGGCGCGGAATTCTACTTCATCACAATTTTTTATAACGATAATCTCTTTCAACAAAAAAATCCCGAAACTGTCGACAGCAGGATTATCAGCATCCTGTTTCCAACCGACGTTGTCCCTGAAAACATCAAAATCTACTACAAACAGTTGCAAAACACTTCTTTACAACGACAGTGTGACCACTGGAAATACGGCATCGAAAAGTATGAAGCCATTTCAGGAAGATGGAGTTCCGACGATGACGCACAAATTTTCAAAGAAGGTTACTACTTGTGCGAGGTTAATCACACCACTCATTTCGGAATGTTAGTGTCCGGGTCGTTATCTGATAACTTAGTTTTAGATCTAATTACCATTTTTGGATCAGTCTTATCTCTATTTGCAATTATAATAATTTTTTTGACCGCGTTAATATTCAAACAATGGAGAAATAAGACAACCAGCAAAATTCTCTTGAATGTGTCATTATGTTTGCTTCTTCTTATAGTTCTGTTCATCATTGCTGATAAGGTTAATCGCGGTCCGCTTTGCGTAGTAGTGGGAATTCTATTGCACTATATGGTTTTAGCCCAGTTCTGCTGGTCTTTGACCATTTCGTACTCTAGTTATCGAAAGTTTCATCTGGTTTCTAACGACCACATTAAACACGTACTGGTGAAATTTTGCGGGTTTTCATGGGGAACACCTTTGATTGCGGTTATCGCAACTGTCGTAATAAACATCAATACTTATGATAAAAGTGCTGTTGAAAAGGCGGAACAAAATTCGTCTGAAATTTGTTATCCCAAAGATGATTTCTTAACACTGGGAGTGTGCGTGCCTATGACCGTCATTCTAACCGTCAACGCGGTTATTTACATTCTTATAGCAAAGAATTTACTTGTAACTAAGCTAGATATACGGAAACACCAAACCAAAAAATCACTGTCGGTTCAAAAATCCCTCATTCTGTTATTCTTCATGATGGGTATGACTTGGACTTTTGGTATCCTGGTGGCGTTCACCAAAAACACGATCTTCCTCTACCTATTCTGTAGCACAGCTACTCTTCACGGTTTCGTCATTTTCCTCTTTTACATTTTAGACTCGACAGAGATTAAACAAATGTGGAAGAAAAAATTAAAACAAGTAATAACGAAATCAAAACGAGGCGAAAAAATAAAATACCGCCAAAACAACAGGATAGAAGAAAATATGACCGAATCTATATCCGGGTGAAAAATACCTGTTTTCCTCTTCTTCATCGCAGTCCCCATTAGCGTATACTTCTTCGGGAACTTTCAAAGTATCTTTGCTTTCGGACATGTTACAACACTTCGAACACAACTATCAATACTGAACGAATTTACAGGATGAAAAGAACACATCACCGTTGTCCTTGTACGTAGGAACTCAAACAGGATTAAGACCCTTAATACCTTCTAAATCTTGTTATAATGTGATGGTCATAGTAGGTATTCCAAACATGATTAGACCTAACTTTGTTCCGCCTCGACCCAGCAACGACTAGTTAATCAAATGAGGCAATTGATGCTTTTATGGATTACGTATTTACATAACGTCCAGGAACGTGAAGTAATTTAATATTTTATCGATCATGCAAATAAGCCTCTTTTAACAAGATTAAAAAGGACGAAATTTTAGTATTAGCGCATCGCACGTTAATTGTTCATTTTGTTGCAGCAAGATAAATTAATTATTATTTGTGAAATATACGGATACTTGAAAATAATACAACAAGAAGTGCAACTTCGAGTATAGCGATAAGAATCAATGCAAGATAAACCATTTTTATTTATATTGTACCTAATAACGCGGAGATCTCTTTTTTTAGTATTATATTTTATTTGCATTTGTTTGTACTTATTATAAATATAACGTAATAAATTGTTATAGCCAACAAAGAAAGGAATTTTTAACTTGTTTGAAACTTTCAATGAACAATTACAGTATATCAAAAAAGCTGAAAAACTGATTGCTCAAAACTTCCTCCATCTAAGAAAACATAAGACTTGCGTATAAAGCCGCATTTTTAATAAATAATAATTGAACAACAATTTTCTTGTATCATAACATTAAATTTTTGATAGGGATAAATTCTTGAATATATCTGTCAATTTTCACCTACAGAACGCAACAAAGCATCTTTTGTGAGGAATTCTAAAAAAAAAAAAAAATTGGTAGGTTATTTCCACAGAACTTCCCTAACGCTTGAAGTAAAGCCCAATAAATCCTGCTTAAAATTATAATTTGTTTTGTGATAACCTCTACAAAGTAAAAACCAGTGGCGCAAATAACGACCCTGAACAATGAAAAAACCGAAAATCGGAAAATCGAAATACCGAAAGTTTGAAAAATCTTCTGGAAGCCAAAAAATCTAAAATTGAAAAATCGAAAATTCAAAAACGTGAACTAGAGAAATCAAAAAATTGAAAAGAAAAAGTCGAAAAGGCGCAAAAAATGAAAACTGGAAAAATTGAAAATAAAAAAAAATTTAATTCGAATTCGAAAAGTCAAAAAATTAAAAAACTGAAAGTCTAAAATCGGAAATCGAAAAACCGAAAAATCAAAAATTCGAACAAGAAACAAAATATCGAAAGTCAAACAATCGAAAAACAGAAAAACTGAAAAATTAAGAAATTCAAACTTCGAAAATTGGAAATACCGATGTGGCGGCCCAATAACACGTTGGTAAGCGGAGAAAGATAAGCTCCTCTGTAGTCTAGTGGTAAGGGCACCCGCCCGGCAAGCGGTAAACGTGTGGTTCGATTCCCACCGGAGAGGCAACATTTTTCTTCGCTTACCTACACCGAAAAATGAAAAATTCGATTAATCAAATATTCGGAAAATTGGAAAGTCGAAAAATAGAAAAATCGAAAAGTAAAAAAGCTGAAAAATCGAAAAACTAAAGAATGGAAAAACTGAAAATTTGAGAAACCGAAATTTAAACAAATTTAAATCTAAAAACTGAAAAACTAAAAAATCGAGGAATTGAAATTTAAAAAAATTAATAAAAATTAAAATATCGAAAAATTAAAAATTTTCATTATATAGCAGCAAAATTTAATAAATCTTTAATCATTAAAACGATTTTGTTGCGTGAGAATAAGAATTGTATTAATCCACAATATTTTCTTAAAAAAAGAGAGTAATCTGAAAACACAACAAAATCAGTGCGACAAACTTTCAGCAAAATTAAACAACAAAGAAGAGACATTGAATTACATAATGAGCTCGTCAGAGCGACACTGCTCATGCAGCTGTATTATGTCCCAACACAATTAATTTCCTGTTTCAAAAAACACACAGTTTTTTTTTAATAGTAGACGCCATTCAATGAATAAAAAGCGTGCATCATCCGAAATATTGAGCAACTTTTGCGAAAGTTTACTATGCAATTATCATACTCAAGACCGCAATTTTTTCACACAGTTGCCTCAGCTGGATTATTATGCAAATGGAAAATTAGTATTTCACACTATACTACCGTAAGTTCACTTTTTAAACCTCCAGTTACTTGAAAAAGACTAAATTTTCTTACCCAGGTGATTCATACCATCGATGTCTAGTTAACCGAACCGGAGGATGAGGATCCAAGGCACAGAATTTCCCGCTTGGCAGCTGACTGCTTCCGTTCATCCTGGAAATAAAAGAGAAACACTGATTCACTAATGACGAAATATTTGACATTTTCGTTCATAAACTACGTCGTATCCGTAGTTACCCAAAAATAGCTAATACGGACCTGAGTCTCGAAGGTGGCTACCGGCTACCGGTACAGTCAATTGTAGGTTTATGCTCCGAAGAGCTCTTTCCTGCATTTAAGTAAATATACAGCTCACGGTTTTCAGTGACAATAATTTTCAAAAACAACGGTTTGTGTATTATCAAGGAAAAACTCCGAATGATGAGTAGTAAAAAACGGTTTTTAAATGTGTATGCATTATATAAATTGAGACGAGGTAATTACACCCATAAAAACAAAACAACGCGGATGGAGACGGATGCAATAATGTTGGGCGAGTAAAGAATGCGCGCGCATAAGAACACGTGTGTTGAGAAGAGAAAGGAAACACCTTGTAACGGCAGAATGGATACTTAAAAACTTTCGTCAACAATAAAACACGCGGTTTCATTTTCAATGGTTGTTCACTTTTTATCGATGGAGTATGAAATAAGTTCAGAAACTATAATTTACACAATCTTCAAGTTCTATTAATGTTAAAAAAAATACTTCTAGTAGTTAACTGGTATAGTTTACTTGTCAATAAATTGTACCTACCCATTTCAGGACAACTCATTAGGTAAGGGTCAAGGTAACTAATTTCAATAATATGCCAGATCTACCTTGAATAGCTAAAAAATGAAGATATTTTTTCAGAGTACTCAGGTCGATTAAGTTCACCTTGTACTTTCCTGATTTTCTAAAAGCATTTTCATTTTGTTCCAATGATATAATCTAGAATGACATCACCTTGTTATGTTAACTACAAATGTCAGGGAGCCTTGCAGATGATCTCGGGGTCTACAAAGTATTTCTCTTACTTTAAAAGGCATTGTTAAACTTGAACCACTTCAGAAACGGTTCTGAATCACGGAGAATTTGTCGTATATAGGTACATAAATATAACTATGTACTTTAGGACTGTCCTTGTATTAGATCTTCTTTCATTGTACCTACCATTTGCGTTTCCTGCTGTCTAAACGTATTTTTCGCTTCTTTCATGTTAAATTTGTTCGTATATTTGCGTACTGTTTTTTTTTATTTTGAGAAATTTCTAAATATTGCATCTTTAAAATTCATTAGTCATAAAACTTACCACTAACAGAGCCCCTAGAAAATTCTCTTCACTAACTCTAAAACTTTTATCCTCCCAAAATCAAAAGAATTGTTTTCAAAAACCTTTAATCAAACTCCCTTAAATAGGTACTATCCCCCAAAATCCAAAACAAAATCACTCAAAGTTCACCTAATTAATCACCAACCGAAGACATATTTCCTGTTCCACGACAATGTTAAAACTGGTTTCGGTGCCCTACACCCTCTCCCGGCCCCTCGTGGACCCATCTTCGAGCTCGCGGATTCCAAGAACCGAGCCGCGTGAGTTTTTCCAAGAAACTCGACGAGCGATTTTTTCCGAGAAATACTGAATTTTATAGATTCACATGAAACACACTCCGTTGCAAATTTTACGTCGTGAAACTGTAACGGTAAAAATCAAATTTAGCACACTGTTGAATAGTTCCTCGCCTCGGAAACACCACAAATACCGAACGAATAGGTGCCGGCCCCTGGTGTTTTGTTTATAGAAGAGATTAAAAGAACTTTGAGGACTCCTAGTGAAAAGTTGTGTTGGTTTTTAACCTTGAATTTCCACATTTTTGGACAAAATTTAAAACTATCCCAGAATTAATTTATCCGTCCTAAGCAAAATTTTAATGATGTCCCTTAAAAAATTTGCTAAGTAAATTCTATTTAAAATGTTATCTTCAAACGCGAGTTAACTAATTGTTTCTTTGTAGCATATTGAAAATCAGTAGGTATATCAGTTGAAAAAAAATCATGAATAAATTTTTACTGAAACCGACGTAAATATAGTGTAGTGATTATCTTAAAATCCGTGATCTATTTTTTCTGAAATTCAGGAAACACAGAACATAATTAGATTAGAATTACCTATGCCAGTCGCGACAAAAAAGTTGATGACGTAATCCAAAAAACGAAACTCTACTAAAATTACAGCATGAGATGTTTAGGAAGCAATACAATGGACCGTCGGTATTAGTTTCAGAAGTTCGGACAAAGCTAGAGACAACTACTATAATTAAACACAAATCTATTGCTAGCTTGGCTAATTAATATTGTCCTTGCCAGTCATTATGAATAAAATCATGCAAACATAAATTAATAATTAACTGTTATTATCGTGGACCAACATTAGGTTTCAAATAACACGTTTTATTGCAATCTGATGTACTTTTAATTAGATCTCCTGGTCATTGAATGTAGACTTGTAAATAATTGTATATATTACCGGAAATACTTAAAGATTTATTCGTAGCGAACTATTAATAAAAAATATATACTTAAACGCAACAAACATCAATTTCAAAACTATTTTATCTCGCTTATTTTTTTATTGTCGCTTGCAATCGTACTGTTACGCGAGAATTATCCACCTTTTGGACAGTTTATACAGAGAAAAACTCTCACAAAGCACGTGTGTTAATTGTTAAACTAAACACCTTGTCAGAATATAATTTTCTTACCTCACTTTTGTTCCACAAGTTCATAACATGGGATAAAATAAACGAAAACACGTTATAAACTCGAAATTCTTACGAATATAACATCGTGGAATGAGACGGATCCAAAAATAAATAAACCTGAGGTAGTCGCACGTATTTTTGTTTTCATCATAAATTGTAACTAAGGACAAATTTATAATATCGGACTCAAGACTATAACATAGTTGTACCCACACACAATGTAAATTATATGTTAATAGCGATAAAGTATTGTTTATTGTTGAATAAATTCATTGTGAGGGAAGTGTGAAATTTCTACATAATAATGTTGGTGTGCAAAGGTAGCCTATACACAGAATTAATACTAGATTAATGTTAAATTTAAACTGAATAATGTGTAGATAATAAATGTGTAATGTGTTTAAACATTAATTATAAATGCGCCGATTATGACGCTTCAGAGTAATAATATTTAGTTTGACGACAACTTGTAAAATTTCGTGTTAAAAATTTTGCTTTTTGATGAGAACCTTGTATGTGTATAAGACCAAAAATAACACATGTTTTTAAACTGGACGTACTCAACAAAGTGTTGGAATGACATCATAAACTTTCCAGGTGTTGGATGGATAAATTGTGGTTACCGTTTTACCACCTTGAAGTATAAATCTAGGTATCATTTCAAAATACTTTGTCATCAGTTCGTAGTTTCGGAAATTGTCCATTATCAACAGACGGACCGACTGAAACTGGAACCCACATTTTCGTATCCTTCAAGTTCTGCGACGTTGAAAAAAACATAAACTAAGCATTCGTTAAATACTTACTTTATTTTTAAATTACAACACTTCCTTAACTTACGCCACAAGTAAAAATGTAAATAAATAAATACGTAACAAAGTTTGTGTAATATGTCTACATTTAAATCCCAAAAATAACGCAGAAATTCATAGCGGTATAGTGCAACCATATACAACTGTATTATATTTTACTTACACGTATTTACATTTGAAAAATCTCATAATCCTATTAATCAAAGGTACACAACAGCTGAGTATAAAGAAACACACGCACACAATTCCGAACCACAAATGCAACAACACAAAAAATTAAATGTCACCGCAGTTTTTTTTTTAATATGCAATGCGGATTAAAAACAAACAACGCCACTTCTCGCTTCCTCAGAATGAATATTTCAAATGTTGAAGGAAATTCAAATGAGCAGAGGCCGCTGAGCGACCTTGGATTTTACCTGTATTTAAAAAACAATTAGCAATACGTCATCTTATTAAAAGTAATTCATTGCGCTGTTGCAGCGTGTGATTAATATGTACATTTATGATTATTAGGTCGCAGTAATAAATGCTCGTACTGAGAAGTATAATGCACGTGTAGGAAATCTGCATCAGTGTCAATGATAACTGTTTGTTTAAAATTTAAATTTTGTGGGACGTGGAAACAAATTGTTCTGCTTCTTCTTGAAAACAAATGAATAAACAAATAGGTGAATACATTACAGGAGCAGCCCCTATTTTGTTTACTTGATATTTTAATCTCTACATACTTGCGCAGTATTTGCTCTTTTAATCCGCGATTTTCCTCATTAACCTTGAAGCAAATGTGCATTGATAAGCATCACATAAAAAAAAAGTTAAAACCAAATTTTCCAAACACGTTTCTAAAAACATACATATGTACGTTAGAAACAAAAAAATTACTTATACATCTTTTATTAAAATAGTGACAATATATAAATACAAATGTTAATAAGTGGAAACATTGGTTGGTTCTTCTCGTTCAACTTCATACTCAATAGACACATGTGGCTTTTGCAATTTTCTTTTGAATGGACTTTTATCTTTATCGCCCTTTTTAGTTTTCTTAGAAGTACTAGGTGCTTGAATATCCTATAAATAAAACCATGAATAAATGAAAAATTTGATAATTTACAAGCATACTTCCATATCTGATTCTTCAGAAGACTCGAAACTACTATCGAGATCCACTTCTTCCACTTCACCACTATCACTTTCCTAAAAAGAAATTTTGAATTAAAAAAAATAAATAAATAAATAAATTCTTACTTCATTTCCACTTTCCTCATCAGTGTCTGCTGGGACAAATTCTGGACCATCATCTTCTGTTTCCATTTCCATTTCTTTCTCCACCTCTTCACCTTCAGACTCTTCTTCTACTTCATTTTCTCTTAAAGCATCATCAAAAGCTGTCTGTGGTATATTATACAAATCTTGATACTACAATGTCAGCATTTTGTTAAAAATTCAAATAATTAGGATAGAACTACAAACATACCACTCCTTTTCTCAGCCTTTCCAATAATGTTTTTTCAACACCCTTTTCTATTCTTGCGGCTATAAGAGCTTTCTGTTCTCTTCTCTTTTCACGTCTTTCTATATTACGCTGTAGCGGAACAATAAGTTTTCTAAAAAGAAAGGAACCACAAACATAGCGCCTACTTTTTAAGCTATTGTTACTTACTGGCGCCTGAGTTTCAATTTTCTCATGCGTATTAAATATTGGGTTATTTTTACAAACCGCTGTTTACATTTTGATTTTATAAAACCTGGCCAATATAACAAGTTTTCATTAATTTGGTGAATGGCCTTTTCAAAATTTCTAGATAATTTTACTTTCTCCCAAGTTTTACGAGGAAATGCTGATCTACAATTAAAGTGGTATAAAGTCTACTTTCAGATAATTCCACATCATATACAGGACATTGATTAATGTTTTGGCTTAAGTCATAAAACTTTTTACTAGGTACCTACATGTCACCTGAGCTTACTATTATACATATGTCAAATACCATTGATATAGCAAACCTAAATTAAATAATTCACCTTTCTGCGGTTTTCATGTACAAATATATAATCCCGTTTTCTTCCCTCACCGTAGCATACTGACTATTGGCTAATGGACACGAAGAACGATTACAGAGGCCTGTTAAATTGTATTCATTGCGGCAAAATCTCTGCGTTTTCGTGCTAAAATGTAGATTTTAAAAAGAAATAGTGCGTCTTTTTATATCTTACTTGACTTTGTATGAACAAAATGACTTGTTTATTACGCTCCACACAACCTAAAATATTACATACATGTATTTTGTGTAATTTTACTGTTACAGAGTACTTACGTCGTCGTGCTGCATTTTTAAAGATTATATTTAACTTAAAATCGTAATGGATTTGTTCAAAAATTGTCTGCTAACCTACAAACCGTGAACCAAACGCACGTGTGCATTTCTATAATAGACTGACAGCAGAGTAGACCTAGAGGAATTTAAATTTCCCTAAAAATATTAATAAAAGCAGAATAAAAGAAACCAAAGAAACGTCAACCTTAAAATTTTAATATTTGTGGTGTATAATCGTTGTAAACGATTTACTTAAACTTAAAGTGATTAACATATTAATAAAACAATGATTCATATGCTTACGTGGTTTTCTACAACGTTTATTTTAATTAATTTTTGTCGAGGGGTAACTCCTAAATCTCATAAATATTTCATTGATCACTCGTTAATTTTGCTTTCAGAGTAATTTAGAGCATGACGGTTGGGTAAACATTAAATTAGAACATTGTCTATTGCCGTCGGATAGCCCTATTTTCACGGATAGAGGCAACATCACAATTCAGAGTTTACGACTAGGCCAAGCAATTGTAAATCAAAATTCATTAACACAAGAAGAACGTGTCCAGTTGAAGGAAATGGCTGCAACAAATCAATTCTACCAAATTAGATCTACAGTTGTGTCAAATGATGGCACAGAAAACGTTTTTCTTTCCACTATCAAAGCTGTAAGATTTTTTGAAAGTATTTAAGTCATTACATTACATTTTTATAGTGCATGCTTGCTGAAGCTCAACTAGATGATAGGTTATCAGTTTCCCTTGATTACACAGGAAGAGTGATTGGCATCACTTTGCTTATTGCATCGAAATCAACATGTGAAGGAGCTGTTGTACCCTTAAGTAAATTAAAAGAATTTACCACAAGTGTGTATGTACGGCACCCAGAAGTAGGCCCTGTGTAAGCATAAATGTACATGTAACTAACAACATCATCATGATTGATTTTTAGTCCTGACACAGCTTCTTATATACAAAAAATGGAGCGAGAAAGAGAAGCAAAAGAAAGAGGTGAAGTCAAGGATAACAGATCAATTTTGGCCAAATACGTAAGATGTTCGCGTTTGTACACAAACCTCGTTTCAATTTTTTGTTGTAGTGGATGTACATTGTCCCAGTTGTAATATTATTAATGGTTTCATCCATGGCCAATCCTGAAGCTGCGGCAAATGGGGGAGGTGCATCTAGATAAATTAGCTACATCGTTTTGTTAATTTATTTATGACATTAAATTCATTGTTTATTTACATCCTTTTTTACTGTATCTGCCTTTTTCGATAATAACTTGGTCATGATGTTTTCTTCACGTGCTTTCTTTTTGGCTTCTTTCATTGCCTTCTTCTGTTCTTTTTCCTTCTTTTCTAACATTTCCTTAAACTTTTCATCCCGCGGATCTACAGTGTAACCAAAGTGCATACGCACTTCTTCAATGAGTCGTTCCTTGCGTTCCTACAAAAAAAGAGTTTCCTGAAATTTCTTAAAATACACCCAATCAATACTACCTTTGCCGCTTTAGCTTCAGTTTCCTTGTTTTTAATTCTATTATACACATCTTGCTTCATTTGCTCTATTTTTTCCATTTTCTTTACAATTTCCTCTTGTCTCAACTTAACGCTTTCTTCTGTTTCATGTCTTTTTCTTTTAGCTTCTGCAATCATGTGGGGTATGGTAAATGGATATGCCACTTGTTCATACTCAATTGCTTCTTCTAACTCTTCCTTCACGGGCCAACAAATGGCAGGATCGACACCGCTGGCCTCTCCATAACGCCCATATAATCTTCGCATGTATTTTAGAGTACCATGGTGCCAACGCGTTGGTTCTGGATATGGATCCTTTTCAAACAAAAAGTTCCGGTCGGATTCTTTTAGTCGGGATTTGTTGCGTTTACGCTGGATCTCTTCTTCGCGCGATTTAAGCTCATCGTCAACAACTTAAAAAAAAATTAATAGTCGGACAGAGTTAATGCACGATTTTTTACCATCAATGCTTGTGGTATCTTGATCTAATTTTTCAATATCGACTGCGGTAGATTTATTTCTGGAATTTGCAAAAGCCACATTCCTGCTGTGAAACGATACGAATTTTCGAAACAAATTAAAACGCAACATTTTAAAGAAATCCCATTGGTAAACATAACCTATTTGCAGGGACTGTGGAAAAGATTCTAACCTTAAAAATCCCTAAATATCAAAATCCCCAAAATATTTTCAAAACCATTTATTTAAATTAACAAAAACGAATTGATTTAAACATAATTTTGTAACAAAATTATTCTATTTGGTAAAACAACTTCCCTACAAATGGGACAACTATGCTGATAACATAAACTATCACAGATACAGTCCCAGCAAAATATGTGCCCACATGGAGTCACACAGGGGTTCTTTCGACTTTCAGCACACAAAATACAATCCTTTCTTGATACTTCACTTCCGTGGGTAACATTTTCTATGTTTCCAGCGGATTGAAAAGACCATACTTGTTGAATAAAATTAAACAAAATATAAAACAGCGATAACTGTCCCAACAACTTAAAACTGTAAGTGAAAGTGTCATCTCTCAACCATTCCCTTACTAACACCTGCAATTTGTACACATAGATATTGCAGTTACGGAATTCCAAAATGACTTACATATTTTACACCCATTATCCTGTTTGAGATATTGTAGTATTTTCCATCCATGTAAAACAGTGAATGGTGAATTCGCTTCAGAGCTTGTTTGTGTTGATGGAAAAAGCCCAATATCTTTAAAAACACACTTTGCGCCTCTTCTGTTAATTCATGTGAATTTTTTATGTTATTTTGTAATGAGTGTATTAACCTATCATAAAGTGGCTCTCCTCCTAAATACAACAACAACCACACAAGTTCAATCTGCAAACTTCATATTACTCTCAATTTAAAGAAACATGTAAACAGGTACAGTTTTGGAAGGAATTTTCTTGTTTTTATCGAATCGCAAAGTACCAGTGTATTCTTCACCCAGAGTTTGAATATTTCCCAAAGTTGTCATGCAATAATACCACGCGTTTGTGAGTGCTGGGATTATTCTTTGAGTTGCATGACTTTTTCTGCTGCTAAACAGTTTTACAATAGCTTGAACGTTGTCTTGCATGTCTCGGACAAAGCTTTCATCTCTTTGTGCACAACGCAAAACGTCGGCCACTCCAGCTTCCGAGAAATTCATGTCCTGGGAAAACAAACATCAGTAAACAATTACCAATTACCTGTGTACGTACGGATTAAATTTTTATTAGTATTTTGATGACAGAACACGAGACCATAGTCCAGATAATTACCACATTGAAGTTACTGATAAGTTATCAATTTATGGATAGATGGCAGCAAAATGAGTCCAATTTTTACGATCAAATTTCTCTTATCATCGAATGGTACTTCAGTGAATGTTAGTCGTGCTTCAATAACTATTAAAACACATCTTTGGGAAACACAAATCTTCAAATTTTATTTTAGCTTTTTAAGCAAACCAGGTTTTTGAAAATGCGAGATTTTAGCGCCTTTTTTAATGTCAACCTCTCGTTTGACGTGTCAGTCAACGTAGAATTTATTCGCGTATTTTTCAATGAAAAATTTAGTAAACTAATCTTTCGTGATAAAAATCCGTAAACAAGGGATGTAGTGCTTAATATATAAGCAAATATTAGAATATCACTCTTTAAGCTCCGTTTCTCATATTCGTAGGTTAGTCTCAAAAATTTGAATTTATTTTTACAAGTGCATCAGTTTTTGCAATAGTTGATGTTTTATTTTCAGAAAAACCCGACGTTTCTTCGTGTGGAGATTAAGACGAGCCATGAAGTTCTCAAGTATGTATTTTTGCTTAATTTTTCAAATCACTGTATTAAGTTTTAATTAAGACTCAATATACTTAAAATCATAAAAATACATAAAACATTTTAATACTAACTAATAAACAACTGAATTTGAAGCTTAGAATAATTGTCTAATAAAACCAAAAATTGTAGGAAAGTAGATGTCTTCCATTTACTTTATGTACCATGATTTTAATAAGCACTTAAACCTAGCTACTCTTATTTATTACTTTTGGAAGTTTTTGGAGGCCTAGAGTACCTTCATAAGTAAATGAGGGTCCTTACTTCAGTTGTTTGCATGATAAAGTTTGCACTTTTGTTTTCTAGCTGCAAATTCTCCAGAGACAGTTTGCCCCCATACATACTTACAAAAATATCTGTAAACTTATCAGGCAGAGCGAGTTTTTCCACAGATTTCAAGACGCTCCAATGGGGATAAATATGTTAATTTTTAAACCACAACGATGTTCCCTAAAGCTAAAATAAAATTATTCGACTAGAAACGATATGAAAATAAATGTCTTTTCAAACATGGTCAGGCCATTAAATATTTTTCATTGCGTGTTAATCTCCCGAAACGCCACTGAGGCATTCACTTTATCCTTATTCCAGCAGAAACATCGAAAAAAACACACATGTTAAAATACGTCAGCTTGGTGGTTTTAACTGTCCAAAATGCCCTCTTGGGTCTTAGCATGCGCTACGCAAGAACACGAGACGGTGACATGTTTCTCTCATCAACAGGTAAACAAAAACGCAAACTTAAAACTTTCTAATAGAAAATTCCAGCTGTCGTTATGTCCGAAATCGTCAAATTAATAACGTGCCTGATCATAGTGTATGTAGAAACAGGAGGCATAGTGCAACTTCTTGAAGCAATCGATAAACAAATCATCCAACAGCCAATGGACACGCTCAAAGTATGCGTTCCTTCGTTCGTCTACGTCATTCAAAATAACCTTCTGTATGTGTCAGCCTCACACTTAGATGCAGCCACTTATCAGGTTTGTTCTAGTAGTAGTACTAGTTTGATGATCCCTGACTTTTTTTGTCTCCAGGTTACATATCAACTCAAAATCCTCACTACGGCAATGTTCGCCGTGCTCATATTAAAAAAAGAACTGCTCAAAACCCAATGGATCTCTTTAGTTATGTTAGTCGGCGGCGTCGTCCTCGTGCAATTGGCGCAGTCAAGTGGATCTTCGCACGTACACTCAGGTCCTGAACAGAATCGACTAATCGGATTCATGGCAGCTCTTTCCGCGTGCGTGCTCTCCGGATTCGCGGGAATTTTCTTCGAAAAAATGCTCAAAGGCAGCGACATTACCGTCTGGATGAGGAACGTCCAATTAAGCGTATGTTCCATACCATTCGCGCTACTGTCGTGTTTCGTTTACGACGGCGACATTATTTCGAAGCAAGGGTTCTTTTTCGGATACGATAAATTCGTTTATTATCTCGTGTTGTTGCAAGCTGGGGGTGGCCTCATTGTCGCTGTCGTCGTTAAATTCGCCGATAATATTCTAAAAGGGTTTGCGACGTCGTTAGCTATTGTTATTTCGTGCGTAGCATCCATCTATATTTTCAGTTTTCACTTGACCGCTCAATTTACTTTAGGTGCAGCTTTCGTGATAGGCTCTATATTTCTATACGGACATACTCCGAAGAAAAACACAGCGCCAACGTCCACGCATAGAGTGTAAAGTAAGAAGAAAAAAATACTCGGATGGGTAGTCCTTGGGGATTGGTTTTCGAGCTGCTTGTAGGTGGGTCAGATACTGACATCATGGCTTTTCGCGATATAAATTTTAGCCAACGGTAAGACAATGCGATTATATTTTCTGGTACTCGATATCTGCATATTACTGACAAGTATGCATTAATTGGCCAAAAGTGACGTAAGGAATTGTGACGTCACTCTCATCACACCCCAACTACCGCTTATAACCTATGTTTTATACCCTTATCACTAAGTATTTAATGGCCATTATTTTACGGAATGCTTACAAGCATTAAGAATGGATATTTTAGCAATTTATATTAAGACAACATTCAGTGTAGAAAAACAAATACGATTTCATTTTTGTTTTTCTATATTTTTGTTACGGTAATCGGTGATTATATTATTTTCTGGTCATTAAGTAACTATGGATCAAATAACGGCGGCATTCGATCAAATTCAATTAACTACAGCAAGTTCAAGAACAGCATTGTTAATAAAAAATAGTCATTTACCTTTTATACAAATTTTACATTGACGTTATCAAATTTATGATTTTACGATGGATTTTACAAGGAAAGAACTGTAACAACCACTTTTTTGCCTAGTAAAATCTGGTTAAAAATATACTTGTGAACTTGAAGTGTCAATTCCTTGCAATAATAAGATCTTATTTAAAATTGCCATACATGTGATTACAGTAAAAAAAAGCTAGTGATGTGCATATATTGATCTTTTTAATTTATATAATTTTAATATAAAAAGTACTTAATTTTATGTAAAATAGTGCATTAGTATTTAATATTATGAAATGATTTTTAATAAATAAGATTTTTTTATATTGGGGTGTTTATCCATGGCTTATCCCCTTACCGTATAATTTTTTTTTGCTATACTACCATTTAGTTCCGCTTAATGTGTAAAGGAAAGTACATCAATGACCACCAACTACTTCAGTGGAAAATAAGTTTATTGTTAATAAACTGTCAACAACTGTATTTATGCAAGGTAATGTAAGGAGGTATCAAACAACCAGAGTAACGACTATAAAAACCTTAAGTCACTAAACATAAACGGAATTATGACATTCCATCATAAAATGGATAAAAGTCAACAACGTAACAAATCTTACTAATAAGCAAAGCAAAGATCTTTATCATACTTCAGCTTCTCTAAATTCGGGTTGCAAGCATAATTAATCATTGGAGGTGGTCCACACATGAGTACTATATTGTCATTGCTGGGAGGAAACAGATGCTCCTGTATCATAGTATCATTAATAAACCCAGAACTATATTTCCAACCTGCGACAAAAACGGGATAACCTCTATTAAACCACGTCACTTCAACTTACTTTCACCCGGTGTGTCCAAAGTGTACCACAATTCAAACTGATCCGGGTGTTTTTCGGCGACTTCTTCTAATTCTTTTCGTACGAGAATATCTTTTTCAGTCTGATTAGCAAATATCAACTTGAGTTTCGTTTTATCCGCGGGATCTTTCGTTATGTGTCTGATTAGTTGCAACATCGGCGTGATTCCAGTGCCACCGGCAATCATGGAAACTTTATTCACAGTGACGGCTTGCGGGGGGTCTTTTCGGAGTTTTTTAACCGAAAATGTTCCGTGTCCTTTATACTGAAGACGACCCGAGGGTCCTCGAACTTCGATGGTGTCGCCAATTTTCAGACTTTCAAGGTGTTGGGACATCTTTCCGCCTTCCGGAAATCGTGGATGTACATTTTTAAAATAAACCTAGGGAAAATGTTACGTGGGGACTTTACAGGATAGACAGTTTTATACCTTGATGACTAAATCGACGAAGCCGTAATCGTCGTCTGATGATACGGGAGTGTAGGATCGGATGATTAAGTCATCGCCGATTTTGGCCGATAAGTGGATGTGCTGGCCAATGGGAAGACCTAAACAATTAACGTATAATAAAAATGTAAAAAATAATGTAAAAATTATTGCCTGCTTACCCAAAATATGATCTTTTGTGGGAAGACCGAACCTGAATCTTCTAGTGTCATGACTTATTTCCTCCTTTTCTATTAACGGAAGGGCGTATTTTGCTTGTGGATCTTCCAATAAAATTTTCTTTTTCCCTGAAAAATTACGAGCAATATTCAGATTGAAAGTAAACTTAATTATCAAGTGTATGCTGCAAATAAGTACCTTTTGTTGTCTTTGACGACGATTTATAAAGATGATAAATTATAACAGTAGTGAGGACTACACCGACTCCTAACGCAATTGGCAAAACCTAAAAAAATGAATTCAAGTTAACCATCGTTTGTTAAACAGTTTGCAATAAACAGTAAATATTCTTTTAGTTTTTCATAAATCCGAGAAGGAATGTTGGACGTCTATCTCTGTTATTTTTATCCTTTTTCTCTAAAAATAAATGCAGATGTTATTCATATAATAATAGGCAAAGGATAAAAATAGCAAAGTTTTCCGGGTCCTGGTCATTACACTGTAAATTCGAGTCACTCTAACTTAAAATGTGACAAATTAGAAGTAAAATAGTTTGTTAAAAGCTTAACTATGCGTGAAAAATTCGAATGACAAAAGAGTTGTTTTCGGCAATGCGAAAATTATTACTCAAAATTAGAATATAAACGTAAAGGAACAAAGTTTAACGACTCTCGTTATCTGTGAATCCAAATAAACGCAGAACTGCACTATTCACCTTGAAACTATGTATTTATGTACTCATCAAAAGCGGCTATTTCAGTATTAGTGTAGCGTAATTGCGTTATTGGGTAATATTTGCGAACACAATTAAACACAGTATCTTACTGAACTCAGTTATCTTTAGAGAATATAACGTGGTATTAAAATAGAAGCGTTATATATAATTTTTACAATGACGAACAATGTAGTTATGTTAGTATTATTGGTTCACTATTGCGTACTGCCATTTTAATTGAAATATTATCATCAAACGAACAATTATAACTGCGTTAATAAAATTAAGTGCAGTTTAACAAATCACACAATTTACCAACTGATGTGGGCTCTGTAACGACCGGCTTAATAGGTGCATTTTATTTAACGCCATACTTCTAAAATAGAATACATATATTGTTTTAAAAACAAAGTCACGCAATTGCAATGTATAATTACAGATTTTGTTTTTTAAATTAACGTACTTAAATGCAATGATAATGTAAACAGCGGTTTCAGTGAGATGACATGGAATTGAAAATTAAAGGAAAATTATCTTATTGAAGTTTCATGGAAGTAACAAAACTGTGTGCAGTGAAATATATGAGTAAACGACACCTAAAAGCAAAATTTCTGTTGATAAGTACCTCGAATGGAAGCTTTAGTGAAGTAAAATTTTTTTGATTTTTTTGGATAATTGGATTTATCGAGTTTCTTAGGGTTTTTGGATATTTTCCATTCTTTGGATTTTTGGAATTATTGGATTTCTTGAGTTTCTTAGATTTTTGAAATTTTTTGGATATTTTCGATTTTTTGGATTCTTGGAATTATTGGATTTCTTGAATGTTTTAGATTTTCTTTATTTTTTTGTTTTTTTTTTATACTTTCCATTTTTTTGATTTTGCCTGTTACCAGAAATCGTGGCTTATAAATTAGCGCTGTCACCGTACCACCACCAAACCAATAATAGAGCAAGTATTTTCATTACCGAGACAGAACGGAGGATGGGGTTTCCAGAAGTCAGAAAATTTATACAAGTGACACGTTTCAGAATTTAAGAAACATTTCTTGAGACGCATAAAATGAAACGAACTATTATGTAATTTGAAAAAACTAAATATACTAAATCAACCGATAATGCAAACCAGCTGTTTATGTGTATTTTTTGTTAAATAAAATGCAATCCAAAGAAAATACCCGCTTAGTTATAGTTACACGTAAACAACTATTCATTCTGCACTGTGAGCTGCTGAGATAAAATTTCACCTATTCATCGCGTACAAAGTAGGTAATCACTACCTTATTCTTTTATATGAAACCTTATAAGGTATTGTCAGTGATTATTGTGTTTTATTACTGTATTTTTCTATTTAAAATGCCTGTAAATTAAAAGTAAAAAAAGAGGAACACCAAAAACTTTCAATCCGCCCCTGTCGTCGAGCACATCATAATCATACGTGACCTAACCTCAATTTGTTTCGATTTATGTAATCGGAAATAACGAAATCCTTTTGTGTGCGACGCGTACGTTTAATATGAATTTTCAATAATGAATTTACCTGATTATTCTCTTCCTGCGACATTTGAATGTGAACTTTGAACAATTACGAACACAGCACTGACATTCGCGTTTCTATTTGCTAGTGGCTCAACAGTGGTGAGTGGTTACGCCGGTAATTACGTTGAAGGATAAGCTAGAATCATGTACTTACCGCACTCAATACGTTTGTCATTGTTCGACTATTTGCTTCTCTTATGTATCATACGTATATTATGTAAAACGTGTTATCACAACTTATCACTCCCCACACTTCCAGTTGCTCTCTTCTGTGCACGCGTACAACACTTGTCCAACAAGTGTAAGTGGCACTGGAACCTGCGTGCCGCTCTGCGCTTGACGAAAAATTAAGTTATTTTTAGATTTTCAATATCAGAAAAATTTAATGCGGTTTTCTTGGACTCGCAGTGGTTATAGTCATAATTATTTTTACTATTACAATGGTTTATTTAGACAATAAATCGCGGACGCAGGCTCGTCTTGGGCATTTTTTGGGCCTCGAACTGAGTGGTTCTGTAAAGATTAAGTTGGTTGGAAGATAAATCTGCTTTAAACTATATTACGAACTTGTTACAAGTGTTATTGGCATCCCTGCCATTTAGTGAGAATAAGTTAAGTTGGCAATGACCAACATTAATGTACTGTGTATTTAGGTACTTGTAGAATGTTACACATGTTTAGTTATTAAAGTTATAATTACAACAAGCCTCTTTCTTTTAACAAATGAAACATGGTGTCAGTGTGGGATTAATAATAATGGATTATTAGGAAAACGATCAGCCACCTAAACAAATACAACAGATGGATGTATCGTAAGTGCAAGTTCCCAAATTGAGGTTAGGATAACCACGTGCAAATTCAAATACTGCAAATTCACAAAAATCCAAGTCATCCGAAGAAAGTAACAATAAATACTGACATGGCACAAGAAATGGGAATGTTTCGAAGGCCCCCAGAGTTGGATTTTTCAACAAACGTATCGTTCAAATGGGATTTATGGAAACAACAATTTGAACTTTTCCTAATGGCTATTTCGAAAGAGGACGAGACAGAAAAAAGGAAAATAGCGATCTTTCTCAACGTAGTAGGGGAAGAAGGAGTAAAAATTTACAATTCCTATAAATTAGGTGAGCAAGCAGACTTAACTCTCGCAATTGTTTTAAATAAGTTCGGAGACCATTGCAAACCGAGAAGAAACGTGATCTACGAGAGGTACTGTTTCCTGAAAATAAGACAAAAGGAAGGACAGAGCTTTGATGCCTACGTAACTGAATTAAAAAATGCAGCGATGAAATGTGAGTATGGCGACCAACAAGACTCAATAATTAGAGATCAAATTATATTTAACGTAAGAGAAACACGGCTACAGGAACAACTAATTAACGAAAAAGATATTACGTTAGAGAAAACACTAGAAAAGTGCAGAAGTGCCGAAATAAGTAAATTCCAAATCAACGAGTTTTCCAAGGGAAATCAGCATCCAATGGCAAATGTGTCAGCGATCAACAAGAAAAAACAACCAATGAAACAGATGAAAACTGGGAAACCAACTACGAAAATAATAAATAACTGCAGAAATTGTGGACAAGTAAGTCACCCAGTAAACAAATGTCCAGCGTTCAATCAAAAATGTAGGAAATGTAAGAAACCAAACCACTTCGCAAAAGTATGCAGAAGCAAAACCAACAGCAATCATAGCGTCCACGAAATAGAAGATGAAGAGGTTAATATGAGCAGTTTGCAAGTTCTAAATATTAATATTGATGGTATCACTGCGGAAGAAAACACTTGGTACGAAGAAGTGGAAATTCAAGGTCAAAAATTAAATTGCAAAATTGATACTGGTGCTCAAGTATCAGTACTTCCGTATAATGACTTCAAATCACTGAACACGAAGAAGAAATTGCAGCCTACAAATGTCACACTAGTAGCGTATGGAAATAAAAACTTCAAAATTAATCCAGTTGGACAAGTGACACTGAAACTGAAAGTTGGAAATCAAATAGCAGAAGTTAATTTCGTCGTCGTTAACCCTAGTTCTGGTGCTATTCTTGGGTTACAAGATTGTCTAAAATTGCAATTAATTTCCAGATCAACCAAAGTAAATGAGCCACAGAAGTACATTCACGAGTTAACAATGGAAATGGTTACTGAAAAATACAAATCAATCTTCAATGGCATTGGAAAAATTCCAGGAACACATCACATCACTGTAAGCTCAGAAGTCAAGCCAGTAATTAATCCACCAAGACTGGTCCCTTTAAGTCTACATACAAGATTGAAAACAACTTTGGAAAAATTCAGCAAAGAAGGAATCGTCAGCAAAGTCAGCAAACCAACGAAATGGGTGAATAATTTGGTAATCATCGAGAAACCAAATGGTGAACTACGCCTGTGCCTTGATCCAAAAGATCTGAACACTGCAATTCAGAGGGAAATATATCAAATTCAAACACCGGAAACCATCATTGCACAACTAAGCAACAAAGAATATTTTTCCGTCTTCGACATGTGTCAAGGGTTTTGGCAAATTGTTTTGGATGAAGAAAGCTCCGAGTTATGTACGTTCAATACACCTTTTGGTCGATATAAATTCAATCGTCTTCCATTTGGTCTAAAATCCAGTCCAGAGGTATTCCAAAAGAAAAATGAAGAAATGTTTGGAGATATCCCAGGAGTACACGTGTACTTTGATGACATTATAATCTCAGGTGAAGATGAAAGAGCGCATGATCGTAATTTGCAATTGTTTTTAAATAGAGCAGCTCAAAACAATGTTAAATTAAATTCAACCAAAGTTCAATTTAAAGTAAAAACTATTCGTTATTGTGGTCACATTATTAGTAAAAATAGTGTAGCAATGGATTCAAAATTCACTAAAGCAATTACTGAACTTCAAATTCCTAAAGACAAAAAACATTTGTTAAAATTTCTTGGTATGCTTAAGTATTTAAGTAAATTCATACCGAATATGTCCCAAATTTCAGCTCCATTGCGTGAATTAACTAAAGAAAATACACCATTTCAATGGGATGAAATTCACACAGAAAGTTTCAATAAACTAAAAGCTATTATAGCCAAACCACCAACATTAGGTATATTTACTAGTAATCAACAACTAAAAATACAAACTGATGCCTCAAAAGATGGAGTAGGTGCAGTTTTATTGTCCAATAATCAGCCCATAGCATTTGCATCTGCAGCTTTAAGTTCTAACAAACAAAATTGGGCACAAATTGAAAAGGAAATGTATGCTATTGAATTTGCTTGTAAAAAATTTCATTATTATACCTATGGTAGACATGTTATTGTTAATTCTGATCACAAACCATTAGAGTCAATTTTCAAAAAAGGAATAAACCAAATTTCTGCTAGGCTACAACGCATGCGATTACAATTGCTCAAATACGAAATAACTGTTGAATATTTGCAGGGTTCACAAATGTTTGTTGCAGATTATTTATCCAGATCGTTTTTAAATGAGATAGAACCTGATAGTGTAGATTTTACAGTTCACACACTACAAAAGGAAATTGTAATTTCAGATGAAAAGCAGAACCAAATTAAAGAAGAAACAAAAAATGATCAAGATCTAAAACAAATTTTACATTTTTATGAACATGGTTGGCCTAATAATGTTAAACAATATTCAAAGGTAGTTAAACATTTTTGGAAAATTAAACATGACATTACAGTTAATAATGGTATTATATATTTTAATGAACGAATTGTAGTTCCTCAATCGTTACAAAGTTATATGTTAAAAATTTTACACGAAACCCATCTAGGTATAGAAAAAACCAAAGCTAGAGCTAGAGAAGTATTGTATTGGTTAGGCATGTGTAAAGACATATATGAATATATATCAGGCTGTGAAATGTGTGAGAAATTTAATAGAAATCCGCAAAAGGAACCTCTTATGTCGTATGAATGTCCAACGCGACCATGGTTTCGAATTTCAGCTGATATAGCTTATTATGCTGGTAATGAGTATCTTGTTGTGATTGACTCATATAGTAAATGGATTGAATTGAAAAAGTTGAAATATAAAGATTCTCACGAGTTAATCAAGCATTTTAAAGAAATTTTTTCACGACAAGGTATTCCTGAAGTCCTTATTGCAGATAATATGCCATTTAACAGCTTTAATTTCAGAAATTTCGCGAATCAGTGGAATTTTAAAGTCATTACTACTAGCCCAAATTATCCGCAATCTAACGGACTAGCTGAGAAAGGTGTAGGAATAGTAAAAAATTTGTTTCGAAAAAATACTGATATAGACTTAGCACTGTTAGAGTATAGGACAACACCAATTGTAAATTTAGGATTTTCACCAAGTCAGTTACTAAATAATAGACGTTTAAGATCAAAATTACCTGTCAATAACAAATTATTAAATACTGAAAATATAAACCCGAAATATGTACATGATAAATTAAAATCTAGTCAGATAAATCAAAAAAAGTACTATAATAGAAGTGCAAAAACATTGTCTTCATTTGAACCGGGTCAAAATGTGTATGTAAAGAATCATAACAATTGGGAAAAGGGAAAAGTAGAAGATAAGTACGACACACCGCGGTCTTATATTGTAAAAACTGAGCAAGGTCAAGTGTTTAGGAGAAATAGACGTCACCTTCGTGAATCGAAAAAGGAGTTTGTTCCGCGTGGTAATGTTGTCGATCCAATTTCTGATTCTGAAAATGAGACATGTACCCCTAGTATGAATAATTCGACCCCTTTTAAAACTGTGTCATCCCCAACAAAAATTAATAATGATGTAAATGTATGTTCAGGTAAGGAACCTGTAAGTCGACCTCACAGAAATAGAAATATGCCATCCAAATACAATGATTATGAAGTGTACGGTGTTCCTTCAACCTTAAAATAGTTTTGTAAACTTAGTGAGGGGGGTGTTACAAGTGTTATTGGCATCCCTGCCATTTAGTGAGAATAAGTTAAGTTGGCAATGACCAACATTAATGTACTGTGTATTTAGGTACTTGTAGAATGTTACACATGTTTAGTTATTAAAGTTATAATTACAACAAGCCTCTTTCTTTTAATAAATGAAACAGAACTACTGCTTTATCTGGTGTTTAATATTACGATATAAATGTTTTTAACTTGTAAATCCAATAAGACCTCCCGTTGAACACATTTTTCAACGAACTGTTATTTAATAATTTTTTGAGATGTCATCGTTCTTACCAAAAATTTTGCACATGATGTTCGATTTTTTTTTATACATATAAATAACAAATAAATAAAAACAGGAATGGATTATTAAACCGTATAGGTACAGGAACATATTATGTTTCCTGTTGCGAATTAATTTTCTTGATAAAATTTTGAGACGATGTGGCCAACTTTTTAGTGGGGACAAACCATAAGTAATAAATAAAAACGACCAAGTACTTGTAAATAACACTGATTTGCCATGAAGAATATATTGCACACTTAAAAATTTATAAATATTTTCGTTTGCAACACGTACCTAATTTAAATCAGTAGGTAGTAAATTTCCGCTTTTTGCGCTTAACTGTTATTTGTCGTGAGATGAAGCGTCTCATTTCTGTTTCACATACTTCCCTATTCTGAAACAGTTTTTTATTATTATTTCTTTTTTAATAATAAATTCTGTGTTATTTATAAATCGTTTATTAATATCCAGCCCACACAAAAAATACAATGTAACTTGAATAATATACATACATTTCTATGATGAAGTCATTCAAAAGGACACAAAAACAGATTTACTTTGTTACTTCGTTGTGATTAACCGTTTCAGGAATTTCCAAAGACGAATCTAAAAAGTTCCTCTGTTGTTGAAAATACGGATTTCGCGATTTAGCAAGCCACAATTCCAAGCGCAGACTGGGATCCATAGCCAGCGAGTCGGAATTTCTTTTTTTCAAGTAATTGAAACAACAAGTCCTGAAGTGCCTCGTTCCGCAAGCCGACTGGCATTCTGAACCGCACGAAGTGCACGATTGCACTTCACCCCAGACGACTCCTGCTGTAATTGAAAACAAAAATTATTTTTAAATTCGAAAAAATTCATCGGACATACCTATCACAATCAATACCACAACCAAATTCTTATTCATGATGCCTGAAGAGCTGGAACTGCGGGAGAATATTCCAGGCTCCATTTTATATTAGAGCCGTCACCCTACATTTTACGGCTTAGCGGGAGGGGATGATTTTATAAAATTTATCTTATCAGAAATGCGTGAAACACCTACTTGCTAAGCCAATCACAGCATCAATTGACTTTCAAAGGAAAAAGTTTTCTTTTTAGATTACTTTATTGATTTAATCAAAGCGGGTTTCAAGTAAAAAGCAAAATCTTCACAAATTATCATATTGGCTTAAATAAGACCGAAACAAATCAATCAATAGCGATTTTTATAATTTCCTTTTAGGACGGTGGAAAGATTTATTAGTTAGATAACAGTGACTATTATATGAATGGATATAAATAATAAACTGTGTTTGCAAAATCTCCCCCACGTTGTAAACGGTGCGTGGGAAGGATGTTTTATAAAATAATCAGAATACAATTGTAACAAAAGTTTATTGAAAAAAGTATAGCAACTGTAGTCAGTTCTTCTTCTTTTTCTTTTTACTAAAACCTTCAAAGTCCATACTCAGTAAAGGATTGCTTTTCCTGGCCTGTACAAACTGACTTAAACATATGTGATTCTAGTTGAGATGCTTACCTGAAATCGACTCGCGGAACTTTGTGCTGACCTAAAATCGTGTTTCCTTTTGTTTCTTTTGGTTAATCCTCCCATTCCTTTTAGTGTTGGTGGAACGATGTATTCGGGGACGTCTGAAAGATGTTGTTGCACTCTTACTGTGTGTAGGGCCTTATCATGCCTCAAAACTTGTAGATCTGTGGGGTTATCTTCAAAATAACTCTAAAAACGCCATATAAATTCATGGACTTGATTGATTTTCAGACAGTACTTTGAGTTTTTGGCAATTGAAAATTTCCTGTTTGATTTCCTTTAGTCTAGCTTCACGTACCGCTATCTTGGTAACAGCTCTCCATGCATCTTTTGCCCTGTATTTAAAAGCCTCAACTTCTTCCAATTTAAAGTGGTTTGCTCTACAATTATTGAAATACCAGTGTCAAAATTATTTAGTTGTACACGAAAAAATGAATTTTGATCATATGTCTTTATTTTCTCATGCTAATAAATCTAGGAATAAAAACACAAATTACTTACTTGAATATTGAATCATTGTCTCCAGTTTTTAAACGATTTTCAACTTTTTCTAACAAGGGTTTTTCTTTAATGCTGACAAAAGATAAAACACTACCCTATAAAAATGAATCAAAATGACTAGATATAAATTGCATTAGACTATAAATACAAACATGGTTGTTGCCTCTGGCTGTCCTTCCAGCTCTGTGTATGTAAGATTGTGCATCTAGTGGAAAATCAAAATTGATAACGTTTGCCACATGTTGAAAATCTATGCCTCTGGACACCCCACTTTCTTTGTCTTTCTTCCGTTTAGATTTTTTCGCCTCTGTATTATCTTTTTCTCCGTAATTTCCTGGTTCTTCTAATGCCTTCTCATCAGAAGCCACTATAATATCATATATACCTTGATTAAACTGAGTGACTGAGTGACACCTAATTTTAGCCGGAAGTTCAGAATTTAGTACACATGTTGGAATTCCAAACTGTTCTAAATAAAGTTTAATTCTAAAAAAAAAACAAGTGTCAATATATTAATTTCCGAATGAAGCGCCACACGAACTTGTAACACTTGTCCACAGTATTAACAAATATGATTGTTTTCCCCCGAATTAAATGTAATTTTAAAAGTGCGTAAATTATAGTCGCCTTATCCATTTCCTCAGCCATCAAATGATAGTGCGTAAGCTGACTTTCAGGTGCAATTTCCGGTTCTTCAAGTTTTAGAGTTACAGGATTATGAAGAACCAAACTCTTTAAACTCTTAACATCTTCACTCAAAGTAGCTGACGCCAGAATAGCTTGATAAATATTCGGCAACGACCTATAACACAAAATCCACACTATCACATAAACTCACCTCACAAGCTTACCCCATGAGTTCTTTCACTTCATTTTCATAGCCAAAAGAAAAAACCAAGTCTGCTTCATCAATCACCAGCAACTCTAGCGACTTTTTCAAATCCAAATACCCCGCTTTAACGTGTTTCAAAACTCTCGTAGGTGTACCAACAACAATATCTGGTCTTTCCACCAATAACGGTTTTTGGACACTCAAATCAACCTGAGGTGCCACATCTACACATCGCACCTCTTGTGAACACTTTATAGTCAAATCTTTAATGACGCCGCAGATTTGATGACACAATTCTTTACTGGGGGCGAGAATCAGAGCTTTAATTTCCTGATGGCGGGCGGTCTGTTTTATGTTTAGGATCTTCTGAATTACAGGAATCGCAAAGGCGGCTGTTTTACCGGAACCAGTACGGGCTCGAACGAGCACGTCTTTCCCTTCTAGTAGGAGCGGAATGGCACGTTCTTGAATTAAAGTAGGGTTTTGCCAGCCCAGTTTTGCTATTGCCTGAAGTTTCGGAAAATGTTTAAACTTGTATACGTTATATGTCAAATATTACCTTCAAAATACGATCATCTAATTCCATTTCGTGGAAGTTTCGCGGTTTTTCTTCATTCTGTTCCGTCATTGTGTTAAATTAACGTCGAGCTTCTTTTAAACAAAAACAATAGTGAGGTTATTCAGCACGTGTGATTGACAGACAGTTATTGAGGTTATGTAAATTTGTCAGATGTCAAATATATTACACAGATTGGTGTCAATATTCAGTTTAATAAGTTTTTGCTTAAAATAATCAGAAGAATCCTTGTCACAATTAAATTTTTTTTTAAACGATTTAAGAATAAAAATCACTGTATTTTATTTAAAAACAACATTACATAATGACTATAAAAATATCTAGACAATCCACAAAGTTGATTACTGTAGAATTGGTTGCCTATACGAATACTTTTTTATTCATAGTTTTCCTTATACAGACTTTTTATTAATAAAATATTTTTAATAAAAGTGTTTTCTTAACTTCTGTAAATGAAAGGGGCACATTTATACTATCAGCTGGCGTTAAAGATTTTTCAATCAGACCAGTGGTACTCATTAAAGGGGATAAAATATGGCTGTTTATAAATTATGTACGTACGTAATATTTGTTATACAATCTCAATTCATGAAAATAATAAACTAGCGAAAACAGATTAAACTGAAAATAAGTCATTTTCTGTTTATTATTGTTTCTGATAGTGATAGCTTTGTTTAAACACGTAAATATCAAATTTCAGCATGGTATTGTGGAAATGACTAACACCAGGTAGGGTTTCTCTATAGTTTATTTACAAACGGATATCTTACACGTGGAACAGGAGACGGTACCCATCTTCTTCGTTTCGATGTCGGCGGCAGAAGAGAGTACTTGCCGTACTCGCGCCTCCTTGTGTCCCCAGTTGGTCTCTGCGTCGGCGCCAGGCTAACCAATCATGAGTGGTGTTCGGTGAGCATATTGAGTTGCCTACTCGTAGGCGAGAGGAAGTAGTACGTGTGCGTTGTGTTGCCTACATTAACATCACAGCAACGCCACATACCCCCCCCCAAGTAACGGGTGACAGCTGTCAAAACGGCTGTCAGTTGTCATTCTCTGAAACGTGCGGGGAGCGTTGACCTGCGGCCTGACCTGGTGGTTTGAGTAACTTCCTGTGTTCGTACTGGGGATGGAGCCGGTGGTGGTTCTGGTTCTTGGAGAATAAAAGCGGGTTTTACTCTGTCGATATTCACTGTTGTTTCCCTACCGCCTACATTGACCTTTATTGTCTTAGCAGTACGAGACAGAACAAGGTGTGGACCGGTGTAGGGCTGTTGGAGCGGTCTTCGCACGGTGTCGTCTCTTAGGAAAACATGGCTACATTTACTGAGCTCTGTGTGGACGAAGGTGCTTTGCCTAATGTGGTGCGACGCTGGAGTTGGGCGAAGTTTCCTCATGTGGTCCCGTAGTTTTTCTACAAAGGTAGTGGGTTCTACGGATCTGTCGATATTGCTGAAAAAGAATTCGCCTGGGACTTTCAGTTGCGTTCCGTAGGTCAGCTCTGCTGGTGAGTGACCGATGTCTTCTTTGATGGCTGTACGTAACCCTAATAATACTGTAGGTAGAACGTCTAGCCAACTTTCTGCTTCATGGCACATGATGGCTGCCTTCATGGTTCGATGCCATCTCTCGATAAGGCCGTTGCTCTGGGGCCTATATGGCGTCGTCCGAGAGCGCTGAATGCCCAAAATTTTCGCCAAGGCATTCATGGTGGATGCTTCAAATTGTCGCCCTTGGTCGGTTGTAATTTGTCTTGGGCAACCGAATCTTGAAATCCATGTTTCGTAGAATGTCTTGGCGACTGTCTCTGCGGTCATGTCGGTCATGGGTGCGATCTCTGGCCACCTGGTGAAACGGTCAGACATAGTGAGGCAATACCTGTAGCTTTGAGAGGGAGGTAGCGGACCTACTATATCGATGTGCACATGTTGGAACCGTTCTGTGACGTCATCGAAATGCTGTAATGGGGCTTTGGTGTGTCGGCCAACTTTGGATCGCTGGCAAGGGATGCAGCTTCGTGCCCACTTCATTATGTGACTCTCCATAAATGGCCACACAAATCGCTTCTTGATGAGCTTACTGGTCGCTCGGCCGCTGGGGTGTGAGAGGTTGTGAAATCCTTCAAAAATTACTTTTCTCGAATCTTGTGGAACGTATGGTCTAACCACCCCCGTTGACGTGTCACACCAGATAGCTTTCTGGCCGGCCTGTGGGGTGAGTTTTTCTAACCGCAGGCTTGTTGTATCAGAGTTTAAAAGTGCTGTTAGTTCGGCGTCTTTTTCTTGTTCCTTGGCTAAGTCGTCGGTGTCAATGAACGTAGGAGTTGTGATTTCATTGACCCTTGAAAGTGTGTCTGCAACTGTGTTTTGTTCTCCTGAAATGTGGATAATGTTGGTGGAAAACTGGCCGATGAAATCTAGCTGCCTGACTTGTCTTGGGGATGCTTTGCCTGCTTTCTGCTGAAACGCGTAGATGAGGGGTTTGTGGTCGGTGAGTATGCAAAAGTCTCTGCCTTCCACCATGTGCCTGAAGAATTTTATGGTTTCGTAAACTGCAAGCAGCTCACGATCGTATGCGCTGTAGTTGCGCTGCTCCTTGCTAAGTTTTCTGGAGAAGAAACCTAAAGGTTGCCAGGTCCCATTGGAGTGCTGCTCTAGTACGCCCCCGATTGCGTAATCAGAAGCATCGGTGATAATTCTGAGCGGCAGATTTTCGGCGGGATGTGCCAGAAGCGCGGCGTTGGCTAACTCTGTCTTGCACGTTTCAAAAGCGGCTTCAGCTTCTTCTGTCCACTCGACTATTGTTTTGTCATTCTTCCGCGCGTTGTTCAGATATTGGTGAAGTGGTGTTTGGGTCTGGGCTGCGTGGGGAATGAAACGTCGGTAGAAGTTGATCATGCCAAGGAACCGTCGCAGATCTTGAACTGTCTTTGGTTTGGGGAATTCGCGGATTGCACTGACCGACGTCTCAAGTGGTTTGGTTCCACTCCCGGAAATCGTATGTCCTAAATATTTCACTTCGGCTTCACCAAACACGCACTTGGTCGGGTTAATCACTATGTGATGCTCCCGTAACCTAGAAAATAACATTTTTAGATGTTCGACGTGCTCTGCTTCATCTCGGGAGAACACTAAGATGTCGTCTATATACACGTAGCAGAAATCAAGGTCACTTATTAGAGAGTTCAGGTGTCTTTGGAAAGTCTGTGCGGCATTACGTAGTCCGAACGTCATAACTGTAAACTCGAAGAGCCCGAACGGAGTGCACACGGCTGTTTTAGGAACGTCTTCTTCAGCCACGGGAATTTGATGGTATGCGCGCACTAGGTCTATGGTGGAGAACACACTTTTACCTTCGAGTCTGTAGGTGAAGTCCTGTATATGAGGGATGGGGTAGCTGTCAGGCACTGTCACGTTGTTTAGGCGCCTATAGTCGCCACATGGACGCCATTCACCAGGGAGTTTCTTTGGGACAAGGTGAAGCGGACTAGCCCAAGGGCTCTTGGATGGTCGGCACCAGCCCTGTTCCATCATATATTGGAATTCGGCTTTCGCCACTCTCAACTTCTCGGGTGCAAGCCTGCGAGGAGCTTCTGCGACCGGGGGACCTCTGGTGATGATGTGGTGGAACACGTTGCCCCTGTGCTTCGTTCCAGGTGGCGGTGGGCGTGTAATTTCTGCGAAATCCGCTAGCAGTGCGTGATATGGCGTCGTCTTGGCCACTGTCGTGATCTGAGGCGACTTGCATATAGCCAGGGTTCCGCGAGTTGATAAGAGGGTGGCTGCGTCTACGAGGCGTCGGTTGCGGAGATCAGGTAGGAGGTTGTGATGCCTCAGGAAGTCTGCTCCGATGATGGGTTTGCCTACGTCTGCCACTATAAATACCCACTTGAACGGACGTTTCAGCTTGAGATCAAGGAACATTAGCTTTTGGCCGTATGTTCTGATCGCGCTGTCGTTGGCCGCGAAGAGCGTTGTCTCAGCTGGGCTGAGATGTTGTCTGCCTGAGAACAATCTCTTGGGTAACACGGAAACTTCTGCCCCCGTGTCGATTAAATATCGGGTACCTGATTTTGGGTCGGTGATGAAGAGGCGTTGTGTTTGCGCTGCGTCGTGGACCACCTCAATCGTCGACGGCGCCTCTAGTTTAACGGCCTTTTGTAGTCACAGGGTTTGGCGCATCTTCTGGCGTTTGCTCCGAACCGATTGTGATAATAGCAGATATTATCGTCCTGCGGATTCGACCTTGACCTAAATTTGGCGCGATTCCAGTTTTCGCCTTGCCCATGGCGCCTTCTGTCGTCTGCGAGTTGGTTTACTGTGGTCGATAAAGTTACGAACTGCTTCTGCAGTGCCGTAATGGCGGCAGCCATTCCATCTTCTTGCGCCGATGTAACGGTTTGAGAGGCGTGCGCGGAGGTACCGCGATTTAGGGCACCAATATTTGCTGTGATGGCGCTGGTATGGTGGATTTCGGTCAATTTGTCCGCTATGGTCGCCATTTTGTCCAGCGTTTCTTTATCATTTGCGGCGAGGATCATCTGTAGTTGTGGGGGTAAACGCTGCAACCACAGAGTCTTGAGGACGTCACCGCTGATCCCCTTACCCGCTAGGGCTTCCATTTCTCTTAGTAGTTGTGACGGCTGCTTGTCCTCTAACTCTATTTCGTACATGAGCTTCCGTAGTCGTTTTTCGGGGGTGTCTGCATAGGCGGCGATCAATCTGGATTTTATGCTTTCGTACTTTGTCTCTTCTGTTGGGGGGTTGGCGACCAAATCGGCAACCGGCTGGAGCGTCGCGCAGTCTAAGGCGGTTACCACGGTCCAGTACTTGGTCTGGTCGGACCTGATTCTCGCGCAATTAAATTGGGCTTCGACTTGTGCAAACCAAAGCACCGGGTCTCGCTGCCAGAATGTCGGTAGCTTCAGATTTGAACCACTTCTTACCTCATCAAGGGCTTGTTTGTTGGAGATGGTAGCCAGTTGTGTCTGGAACTGGCAAATTATTTCTTGTTGTTCCTGCAGTTTCTTTTGCATTTCTTCCATGGTGCTAGCTCTTCCTATTTTCTTTCCGGGGTCACCAATGTGGAAATGACTAACACCAGGTAGGGTTTCTCTATAGTTTATTTACAAACGGATATCTTACACGTGGAACAGGAGACGGTACCCATCTTCTTCGTTTCGATGTCGGCGGCAGAAGAGAGTACTTGCCGTACTCGCGCCTCCTTGTGTCCCCAGTTGGTCTCTGCGTCGGCGCCAGGCTAACCAATCATGAGTGGTGTTCGGTGAGCATATTGAGTTGCCTACTCGTAGGCGAGAGGAAGTAGTACGTGTGCGTTGTGTTGCCTACATTAACATCACAGCAACGCCACAGTATAATAATGTTACTGTGTAGATGTTATTTTTGGATTTTTGTTGCCGGGATAAAATTATATAGGTATCTATTTTGAAAAGCTTCCAGTAATAATTATGGTGTTGCAATGATTTTGGCCTAAAATATTGTACCGTGTCTTAACATGTATGACATTCTCGAAAACGATTTTAGGTCAAGTCTGGTCAGGTTAGGTCAGGTCAGGTCAGGTCAGGTCAGGTCAGGTGAGGATTGGTCTGGTCTGGTCTGGTCTGGTCAGGTCAGGTGTGTCTTTAAAAAATCCCATTGAAACTAAAAATATTTTTTATAAATGTATAAAATTAGCGATAACTATACACACTACGAACAAATTTTAAAATCACTTATTAGAAATGCGACAAAATTAAATTTCAGAAATTTCACTTAAAACTTGATCTAAAATTACAGACAGAACTTTCCTCGTTCCCGAAGTACATTCTAATAAACAACTTCTTCGAAAGATAAAAAAAAATAACTTTTATTTATTTTTTGTTACAACCCCTACAAGTGAAAATAAAAATATGTGTAGACTGTTAAATAACGGGTAAAGAAGCATGCTATGCAGTGGCATAAATAACACCCCCACAGCCTCTAAGCCAAGGGAGTAGTCCGCACAGACACCGACAATGTCAAATATATTTTAAACAGACAACCAAAGGAAAAAATATATTATCAGTACCTACATGGACTTTGATTGCTGTTCGTTCGAAAGAATGCGACAATTAAGCAAACAGCGAGCTGACTTTCGCGTTGGTAACTCAACATTTTTACGACGTTTACCACTCGTTGGTGCTCTCACACCAGTATTAAATGTGAAGGTGCGAAAATCTGGATGTCTAGGGTAAAAAATCAAAGCTGATTCATAAACCACAAGTAGAGGGGTATATTATTTCATACATGCTTACTAAAAAATATTTGGAGGGACCTCATCGAATTGTTGCTAGAGATGATTAACCAAATTTTGGTTAGCGTTTCACCATATACATGATACTCTTAACATACTTGTAAAATTTGACAATAATCGACCAAAAAATTATCTGCTGAATTTGTTAAACATATAATCTTCGAGATTTTTAAATCCACATGGACGACAAACACTGAGACAGACGGAAACGGGAGACCTGTTTTTCGTAGTCTAGGGGTCATGAAACGTCGAAAAACATGAAAGTGATAAAATTAAATTTCCAACAAAAAATCTATTAAAATTAGCGACATTTTTATTTACAAAATCGGTCTAAAGTTGTTTAGAAAGAACTTCCCTTGCCTTTGAAAGATAATCTATTAAATAAGTAAAATTTTATTAAACAAATTATGAAAGAAATTTTATTTTTCTATGATAATCCATAGAAAAAACTGACGTTTTCAAGGATCCGGAATGTTTTTGCTACCGATGTTTATGTAGAAATTCAGAATCTAAGTTCCAAAACACACAAAGACACTAAAAAATTATTAGAAAAAAAACGTTGTTATATTTTCCTTACTACGTGTCTCATAAAACTTTCTAAGGAAGCCATAGTGTGATCTCCGAGATTACTTAAAATTTCATTGTAACTATTCGGTAGTTTCCAGTGGGCGAAAATGGCAACCTGCATTTGCGTATTCTACGACTTCTGAATTACACATTCGTCAAAATAACACCTTAATAATATTCGTTTTCACTCGAAAACCAAAAATATTTTGCGCACTAGTTATAAAAATAACAACTGTTTTAAATGTCACAAGCGGAACTTGCAGCATCGCCAGTATCCCGAAGCGGCTTTCTCGTTAACGTTATCGCTTCTACCGTGCTACCAGTAATAAGGACCATATCGATTTAATTCGGGTAATTCCCCCACGATCGCCTTTCCTGCGGTCACTCCTCGCTCCAATCCCGCCGCCGCCACCGTAAGCTCAGTTTGATCGTCCGCCGCCGCCTCCGGAATTACCTAGTGTGCAGCAGATCCACGTTTACTTTCGCCATGTCGAGCCGTCGGCGGCGGGGCGTGCGCAGGCAAGGCGCAGTCTGCAGCTCAGATAGAGGACCAGTTCTGGTCCGGGCGAATCCGGGAAATGCCCACCACGAAAGCGACGCTCCGAGCCGCCGCCGCCACTCACACAACGTCCACCACCAACACCAATAATTAAGTGATGCGTTAGTTAGTTAGGACAGTCGAGATCTGGACCTCTATTAATAGAGATGGACCGGAATAAATTCGACGGCGGCAGATGATAGAATAGTGCGGTTGCGGTAGAATGCGAGCATGTGTTGTCTTCCGGCCGAAGGAGAAGAGTAAGAGACATGGCGACGCCGTCGGACAGCCCCATCGAGGAGGTCGTGTTCGAGATAGAGCCGTCCAGGGTGCCGAAGCCGGTGCCCGTCGCCCTAGAGGACCTTTGCAGGCTCACCAAATTTACGAGGCAGGAGATTAGGATCATGTACAGGGGATTTAAAACGGTTAGTTCTGTTTTCGTGAATGGACGAGGGGTCGGTCATTCAACGGGGTTCTGTCTGTAGTTTTTGCGAAAATGGGGGTGAAGGCACTTGGAGTGTCATTTTGATTGCGTGTACTTTATCATAACGTGACGAACGCGAGAGACACGTTCGGCTCAGGAACTTTCCCGAAATTTTATTTCATCCTATACCCCCTTATTTTTACTTCCTGAGCATAAGCTAAGGAAGTATTGTAATCGAATTCATTGGACGGTTGGCTGCTTTTGTTTTCTTGACGTATCATGACCCTTAGAGTACGAAAAAATCGGACTCCCGCTTCTGCATGTCTATCTATCTGTCTGCCGTCTATTCGAATTTTTATTAGATAGATAATCTCCGAAATTACTGGACCTCTCTGAAATGTGCAAAATATTATGACTCTATAATTATGGTTTATCAATGCACTCATAGATTTTAGAATCACTTATAAGGGATGACTAAAAAAAAAATTAATAAATGCAGCAGTTTATAGTATTGATTAAAAATCAAGAACGACTATTTTCTCGAAAATTTGGGAATACGCTCCTGTTGTTATTATTATTACATTGCATCTATCCAAATTGTATATAAGGTTGATGACGTCATCAAAATTTTGTAATGGAAAAACTGACTTCTTTATTTTAACTTACAAGGCCTAATTAAAAATGGTCGAAGGTTATTTCGACAGAATTTCCCTCGCCCCTGAAGTACAACAAATTCAGATTTTTCGAAAAATTCTAAGATTCGATTTTACGAATTTTATTTTTTAATGATAACCCTTATAATTTGAAATAAAAATATGTATGCAATGTTAAAATAAAAGTAACGGGGGCGTGCAAGGCGTTTGTTTCAAGTGAGTTTTTCTGTGATGAATGATGACGTCATCAACATTTTTGCAGGGACACGTATATCAGTTTGGATAGATGCAGTGTAATACTAGTAATAATACTGTATTTCCAAATTTTCGGGAAAATGAAGTGAATTGTTGTTGATTTAATCATTAAAATAGATTGCCTCATTCAGTAATTTGTTTGACCCACCCTGAATAAATAATTCTAAAACTAGGAGAGCATTAATAAAACACGAATATAGAGCCGTAACATTTTGCATATTTGAGAGAAGATTTATTCGGCAAAATTTTGAGATGACGTCATCAATTTTTTGGGAGGAGATAAACGATTAAATTTTGATTAACGATTTACCATGATTACGATAAGCTTCAAATGTTTACGAGATTTCAAAGCATTCGGCTTTACAGTTTTAAAGTTAAATTACAAAATGTTGTTATACAATTTTTGATTTTTTTCCAAAAATATGGATTGGAAGAAAACTCAATACGAATTCATACATCACAAGTTCAAAAATATAATTTTATAGAATCGTCAAAATTGTAAAGTCGGAAAACTGATATCGAAAAAATCGAAAAATTGCAAAACAAATAAGTGAAACAGTTTTAAAATCTAACAACTGATAAAAGGAAGAATTCTAAAATCGTAAAACATGAAACATTTTAAAAATTATAATTATTATTACATATTTAAATGAACTAGAAACATTGGGTCAAAAATTGAAGAAACAAAAAATTGAAAAATCGAGAAACTGAAACATGAAACATTGAAAAAAAGAAAAATTAAAAAATCCAAAAGTTGAAAAACCGAAAAATTGAACACATGAAAAACTGAAAAATCCAAAAATTGAAAACTCCACGAATTTTAAATCGGAACCTGGCTAAACCTAAAAATTGAGGAAACAAAAAAATGAAAAATTGAAATATTGTCAATTGGAAAATTGAAGAAACGAAAAACTGAAAAAATTAGAATTGAAAAAACAAGAAATTAAAATGGAAACAGTGAAAAATCGAATAATTGAAAAAAAAAAAAACTGATACGAAAAATTGCAAATCGAAAAATTGAAGTGGAAAATTGAAAAATCGAAAAATTGAAAATTTGAAAACTTAAACCCGTGAAATTGCAAATCGGGAGATTGAAGAAACGAAAAACTGAATAAATTGAAACTGAAAAACCAAAAAATGATAAAATCGGAACACTGTAAAAATAAAGGAAACAAAAAACCAGAACGAAAATTGCAAAGCGAAAATTTGTAGAAATGAAAAATTAAAGAATCGAAAAATTGAAAAATAAAGAATTGAAAATTCGAGAAAGCCTAAATCGAAACATTGCAAAATCTAAACACTGAAAAATTCGAAAACTAAAAAACAGTAAAAGAGGAAACAAACAAAATGAAAACTTCAACTCAAAAAACTGCGGGAGTGTTTAGAGAAATGGTCAGAAAATAAAAATCGCAAAAAATGTTTATAATAATTTTTCAAAGAAGCGGGATTTATTAGCCTGTACTTCAGGGGGGGGGGGGGGGGAAGTTCTGTCGAAATAACGTTCGACCAATTTTTTTAAATATAATGTTTCCTTTCCGAGCGATATTTACGTGAAACAGAATACGAAAATTCACGTTTCCAACCTTTGGCTTTTATCTTTTTCTGATTTAACTAGTATCAAATAATATAAGCCATATTCACGTTTAGAATAAAACACTAAAAGGCTCGTTATCCCAGAAGGCCCCCGCACAGTGCCAAATTACCGAAGCCGGAGATTAGAATCATGTACATTCGAAACAGTCAATTCTGTTTTCATGGCGCGGAAATCGCTCATTTTTCACTTTTTGTGAATGACTTGTAGGTTCGCTTGCCTGAAATAATAGTTGAATTGGCTCAAAGGGCGTGAAACGAAGTTATTAAATTAGGCGTGTTATTTATCCAACGGCACTAATTCACAAACGGGGCGCGAGGGTGTTATTTAAATAATTAACACCTACGGGAAGTATTATCACATGCGTCACACGGCAATTTTAAAAATGTCGCTGTTCGCGGAGGAAATTACGGCAATTTTTTTATCGTCATAATACTGTATGCCTATTATGGTAGCGGACATTTGTGAATATTGTAATAATTCGTTTCTGATCTACAAGTTGATTTTTCCTAAAGGTTGCTCAACTTTATCAATAAATGTGAGGGTGTGAAAGAACCGTCCTATGTTTCTATTTAATTATGTTTTTGACAGAAAATAAAGAAAATAAAATAAGAATGAAAAATGTTAAAATAGTGAAAAGTCAAAAATATGCTTGTTACGTCAAAAACCTCCAAAATAGTCATCAGGTAAGTCAAAATAGTAAAAATATAAAAAATAAACAGTATGCCAAAAATAAAAAAAATCTATTCCACAAATCCTGAAAATTTTAAAAATCTAAAAGTTACACAGATTTCGGAGGAGTTTGTTATGTGTCTTGTAAAATTATTAAAATATCACACTTTGCTTTGAATTGAAAATTTGCTGAATCAATTCTACTTAAAATGTAGAAAATTATATGCCCGTACAAGTGTGATTCATTAGTCCACCCATACTTTTTAGGACTGTTTATTCAGGACGCGTGAAAAATGAATGAATGAATTAATTACTTTTATTGATTAAATTAAAAATAGTTGTTCTAATTTTCCCCAAACTCTGGGAACATAGTTGTCGTTTATTTTATTTAAAGTAATGTATAGACATTATCGTAAGAAATAAAATTTGCAAAATCAAGTTCTGTGGTTATATATAAGTACATATACATCAATTGTGTATAAAAAAAATCTCGTGTTCCGATTCACCTCATATCGTTAAGGACTTCGATATTTCAGGACCAATACCAATTTTTGTTTCGGTTTAATTTCACGTTGCTGCAATAACGGCAGCCGTAGGCTCGATTCGAGCTTTTCTGTCCACATTTTGTTAATTTTCCTGAAAATATATTATTTATTTACCCAGAATTGTAATCGATGAATGACTGAAAAAATAATCCAAGTCCTACTTTCTGTGCCATTTCTACTAGCTCTCTTCGACCCTCCGAGCTCAATTCCCAACTGAATATTTTTAAGTCGTAAAGAAAACGCATGTTTATTTTATCTTATTTTAAGCACACTTACGATTTTAAAACTGTCGTGCATTCTGCCGTTAACGAACCATTATTATCAATCATATCTCGACGTGTTTCGATTCGCCACACACTTTCTCAACGCGTCTAAAAATAAAATCCACAATGAAGGAATCACGAGATTTAAAATTTAATGTGGCTATTTATTGATGAGAGGAGTACCTCGTTCATTAATATGCAACGCCACCTAAGCGCTCTACCCTCCCATTTCATAAAAAATGCAGACACGGGGTGGCACCTGTTTGTTTCTGAATTTTTTCTCGGCCAATCATTCATACCAACGTCCTCTGCGACGTTCCAAATTTAGATTAATTAGTAAGGGGGTTATTTCGGTAGTATTTCTTTCATTCACTATCCGTTTTAATAATTAAGCAGTCCAGAACTATGTAAATTTTCATTAGGGAAAGATAAATAAAACGAATGGGGTTGTTATTGCGTAATCGTGGGGTTTATTTCTTTACTTCAATTTCTCTTGGAAAACCACAAAGAGGATTCAACAACTAGATTGGTGAGCGAATCCCTGAGGGGTGAGTTGGTTGCCGCTCTACTCTGCTTCTAGGATTTTGGGAATTTTTCGTAAAGATATTAAAGTATAAGACTGAAAACGTTTAGTATAACAGTATTTTTTCTTAAACCGATATCGTTCAGTGCAAGTTTTATATTTAATAAAGTTTATGAATTAATACACAAAAATATTGGCTTTTCAAGAAGTAGGGCTAGTGCTGACGATGACAAAGCAGATTTTGCTCCGTTCTCAAAGATTTAGTATTTTTATTTTTATTTCCCTAGTTGCTTTCATGTTTTCTCGATGGGTCATGATCCCTAGAGTATTGCGAATATCATGTAGATGGTAAAATGCTAACCAAACTTTGTCTAATCATCCCCACCAATAATGTGATGACGTCACCTCAAAATTGTACATAGGAAATGTGTAACATAACAGTCCTACACGTGTTGTGGTAAGGTAAGAGCTATGATAAAAAAAAATCGTAAAATTAAAT